ACAGGGAAAGGAACACTTTTCTTTTATATAAGTAGTATCAAGGGGGGTTTAGATTTATTTGATTTAAATATACTAAGATGAACAACCTATATGAGTTTGATTAATAGATGTGGAGGCTTGGTTTTGCTTTTATCCACTTAATGAAATGTTCGTCGATTGACGAGCACTTTGTCACGATGCGTCAAAATAATTTCAATACTAAACACTTATACGTAGTATAGTGTAGTAGAGTTCGTATCCACAGGGAAATGAATGATTCTCTTTTTATGAAACTAGTAATTAAAAGGGGGGTTTTGGTTTTGAGTGATTTAATTCAATTAAGAAACTAAGATGAACAACCTATATGTGTTTAATTCAAGAATAAAAGGGACTTGGCTTTGCTACTTTCCACTTGTTGATATATTTTAGTCGATCCTTGTTATATCTATAACTTATCCCCTCTCGAATACTCAATCGAGGAGTATCTCCAATTCATCGAGGGTAGTTATTAACAACGACCGTTCATTAATAACCCTTACTATTAATCAAATATAGAACAACGCCGTATACCGATATAATAGTAGCATTCAATCTTTTTAACTCCTTGATGAAATCAATTGAGATTGATAACCTTAACACAACGGTTTTGGTTTAACGAACAAAATTGATCCCTCTTAAGTTTATTAACCACGACCGTGCATTAATAAACCGAAGTTACTACTTATGAAACCACCAACGATTAACCATCGGTTCGTTGATCGTTTCTAGTAGTAATTAATGTCGGAACGTTAACTAATCGTCACTTAGCAACCCTCCAACATTAATATAGAATGAGATTAAGGGAAGAATTATTAATCAAGAGAAGAAGTTAAGAAAATAACTCACAACTTTAATAATCAACAAGCTTCAAGAGCAAAACCAAGAATGGAAGTTTAGCTCGTCATCAAACAATCAACATAAATCAAACATAAAAACATGTAATTATGCACTACTAATTAGTGTGCATCATCGATCCCGGATATATCTTTAACTATCTTCCTCTCGAATACTCAATCGAGGAGTATATCCAGTTCATCGAGGGTAGTTATTAATAACGAGATGCGTTCATTAATAAAACTTATTATCGAGTCAATATAGAACAAGCGCTGTATATTAACTTGATAGTAGCAATAAACTTAAGATGAAAACGATTGAGATTGATAACCTCAACACAAGCGGTTTATTGGTTTAATCAATATAATTAATTCCCCTTGGCATATTAACCATGAGATGCATGCATTAATATTCCAAGTTTACTACCGTTGAAAGAACCGGATTAATAACAAACGTATTAACCGATTGATTCTAGTAATAATTAATATGAGAAACAAAACTAGTTGATACTTTAAGTAATGTTTAAAATATTAACATGAAATATGAATAGGAATTAATTAATACTCAAGGAAGAATATTAAAGAATATGAATCCTACTATGATTAACATCAAGATGTTAACTAATTGTCATCTTAGTAACACTCCTCAATATTAACATAGCGGAAGAAATAACTATTACTATAACCAATGTCAAGATGTTAACTACTTGTCATCTTAGTAACACTCCCCAACTTTGATATAGAAATAGTATTTGAAAGGAAGAATTAATATTCAAGGAAGAAGATTAAAGAAAATAACTCACAACTTACAATTTCATTAAGCTTCAAAGTAGCAAAACCAAGATGGAAGAGTTTAGCTCCTCATTTGGAGACTAAACATGATGAAAATATAAAGAAAGAACTATTCTAGACTGAGCTTAGAAGTATGGAAGAAGGGATTCTTAAAAGTGAAGGAAAATTGGGCTATTTATAGGTGTTTTACAACACCTTTGGCCGGGTACCCGACCGGGTCAAGTACTCACCCGACCGGGTCCGGTCAAAATCAAATATCCTCCACGTTCTGGTGATCTTCAGCATGTTAAAGTGTCCCCGGTCAAGTCAGACCCGACCGGGTGGGGTATGGGACCCGACCGGGTGAGTGCACTTTCCAGGCACTTTCGGTTGTTGAATCAGACCCGACCGGGTGACGTCTTATGCCCGGTCGGGTATTTGCTCCTGGACAGTCAAAATTCCTTTTTCTTCACTTCAAAGTCCTTCCTTTCAACACCATAATTCCTAATTCTACTTTACAACTTACAAATGATAATTAAAATACGAATACAACTAAAATCACACAAATGTTTACAAACTAAATAAAACGGTAAACAATACACACAAATCAATCATAAAAATATACATTTATGCACTACTAATTAGTACATATCACCCAACTAACTACAACGAACAACAAACAATAAAATGCTAAAAATACGATTACAATCAAATGCAAACTAACAACTACAAACTTGCATAACACTAGCAAATAAACATTACAAACGATAATAAAAATGTACACATAGGCACTAACAACTAGTGCCTATCACATACTCTTAAGCTCAGTTTAGAATAGCATTTCTTTATATTTTTCTAGCTATGTTTAGTCTCCAAATGAGGAGCTAAACTTCTGATTCTTGATGTTGCTCTTGAAGCTTGTTGATTATTAAAGTTGTGAGTTATTTTCTTAACTTTTTCCCTTGAATATTAATTATTAGTTCTTTCCTTAATACTATCTCTATATTAATGTTGGGGAGTGTTGCGAAGACGACAATTAGTTAACATCTTGACATTAGTTAGAGTAGTATTTTCTTCCTCTATATTAATGTTGGGGAGTGTGGCTAAGATGACAATTAGTTAACATCTTGATATTAATTATAGTAGGATTCATCTCCTTTAATAATATTCTTCCTTGAATATTAATTAATTCCTATTCATATTTCATATTAATATTTTGAACATTACTTAATGGATCAACTAGTTTTATTTCATATATTAATTATTACTAGAAACGATCGATGAACCGATGGTTAATTGTTGATGGTTTCACAAGTAAGTAATTTCGGTTTATTAATGCACGGTCGTGGTTGATAAACTTAAGAGGGATTATTTTTTTTGGTTTAACCGAAACCGTTGTGTTGAGGTTATCAATCTCAATTGATTTCATCAAGGAGTTAAGAGATTAAATGCTACTATCAAGTCACTATATGACGGTGTTCTATACTTGACTAATAGTAAAGGTTATTAATGAACGGTCGTTGTTAATAACTACCCTCGATGAATTGGATATACTCCTCGATTGAGTACTCGAGAGGGACAAAGTTATAGATATAACGATGATCGGCTAAAATGTATCAACAAGTGGAAAGTAGCAATGTCGAGTTCTTTTATCTTTGAATTAAAACACATATAGGTTGTTCATCTTAGTTTTTAAATTAAATCATTCAATCCCAAAACCCCCCTTTTATTTACTAAGTTCATAAAAAAGAAAAGTATTCCTTTCCCTGTGGATACGAACTCTACTTCACCTATACTACGTATTAGTGTTAGTATTGAATTTATTTTGACGCACCGTGACAAAGTGTTCGTCACAGTCCCACCGAACACGCCGGAATACTAAAAGGGTTCATAAGGCACATGACATCCCCCTCCACGGCCAGCCGGTGTTCCCTTGCTCCGGTTGCATTCCTCCGACCAGTCTTGATACCCGTGCAATTTAAAACATGAACTGATTTCATGCCCCTTCTGCTTACAGTGGGTACACACAGGACGCGGACGATCTGACTTTTCTGCTCTGTTTTTAGAGTTGCGATCCACCTGGAGGGCAAAAGCGTGAACATCCTCCACGATGTTCTTCCCACGAGCGGTGGCCCTGGAAGTTTCCTCCTACAGGAACGCCTGAAGTGCACGGTCAATGTCTGGTAACGGGTTATGAGATAGAAGATTCGATCTCACTGTCCCGTATAATTCATCATCGATTCCAACCAAAAATTGGTGAAGGCGTTCTTCATTCCGTTCTGCCTCGATCTTCCCAACAACATCACATGTGCAGCGCCCACATGTACACGATGGCAGTGGCTTCAACCTGTACACCTCATCGTACAGTCCCATTAACATCGTGTAATAAGCATCCACGCTCATATTCTTGGTTTGTTTGCAGGCCACAATCGAAGACTTGAGTTGCTGCAATCGGGGTCCATTCGCCACACTGAATCGCTTCTCAAGGTATTTCCACAAGGCCCGTGCTTCATCATGAAACGGTACCGAGTTCACCACCGCCGGATCCATGCTTCATAAGAGCCATGACACCACCATTGAATCGACGGTGTCCCAATCGAATTGTCTCGTCGTTTCTGCCGGTTTCGTGATGGTGCCATCCACGAACCCGTGTTTCCGTCGAGCCTTCAAGGACAGGGAGATAACACGTGACCACGCTACGTAATTATCCCCCTTAAAGATCACATGTGTGATAAGGTTACCCGGTTGATCACCGGAGTCGAGGTAATAAGGAGATGAAGTGTCTCCCATGGTCGCTGGGCTTCGATGGCATGCTGGTACCAACCAAGACGACGAAGATCGACAAAGGGAGAGCTGCGCTACTGCCGCGCAGGCTCTGATACCATGCTGGAAATGGTAGAAGCGTACAAGGCAATAGTGCGAAGTATTTTGGTAAAGAATCCGTATCTCTCGTCATTAGATTGTTAGGATATTTATACAAAGTAATTACAATAAAAGGGTTAAACCTCTACCTAAAATAAGCCCTTGGCCCATATAAACAAATCTAGCTAAATACAAATGGGCAAAGCCCGTAGTCCGCTAACAGTATACATGTTTAGTAAGTGTCAATACAAGTGTCAAAAGTGGACTTTTGATGAATATATGAATTATTCAAATGGTATCATATGTGTGTGTATATATATTGATAATAAAAAGTACTTCCCATGTTTCGAAAAGATTTACCAAATTGACTTTTCTTAGTTAATGACAAATAACTTTGATCAATTATATTTTTTAATATGTAATATTTTGAATATGAAAATTATATTAAAATATTCCTTATTTAAAATATTTTCAAATAAGTATAAAATTAATAAATTGTACGAAGTCCAAATTGAGCTTTTGAGCATGGAGCTAGTATTGATCATCAAATGTGGACAAATTAAAGGACTACTCCGTATAATAATATTATTAAAAGCGATTGGTCGTCCAAACAAGTTACATGAGAGATGAGAATAAGTCCGGCCAAGTACGTACGTCGTAATGAATTAGGCAGGGGGAGGCAATGGCCTGTAAACAAGGACGGGGCTCTTAACACAATGCGTGGGGTCCTTCCATACGACCGAGCCCGCCCTATACCACGAATTAGGCCTAAGAAACTTACCCCTGACTTCAACTCTGTATGACTTCTTCTGATTGGTGTGCTGGAACGAAAGGATGTTGGGAACGACGTTGAATGAGGCCCCGGGCGGAGACTTGACGTACGCCTTGAAAGCAGTGGGAGCAGAGCCGACGTATGTTACGGTGCGGTAAAAAACGGCGGAGAAGGTGGAGTTGTGGGGCGATGTGAGCTGAAGATGCATTGTGGGATAGTTGAGGCCATCAGATCCTTGCGCCGCGGGGTAGCTTGAGCAGCCGCTGCCGTTGCTTCTGCTGCCTGTCACAGAGTCCATTCCCGTGAAGTTGAACCCTTCTTTGCACAGGTAGCTCACGTACGCGTTCATGTCGATGTCGTAAACTAGCCCAGGGCTCACTGCCTTCCCTGGCCTTATAAGCCCGGACCCTGACGCTAAGTATGCACCCACCGGGTTAACCTTCATTGCTCTCGCGGTGGTCATGAGAGCAGACTTGATGGCAGCGGGCGACCAATTGGGGTGGAAGGTTTTGACGTAGGCAGCGGCACCTGCGACGTGGGGGCAGGACATGGATGTTCCTGATTCGATGTTGTACTCCACCACCCGCGTGTCCTCTTCCTGCCCCGTCATGCTTGCATACTTGGTGTACGCCGCCAGTATGCTCAATCCCGGCGCCGCCAGGTCAGGCTTCAGGATGTTGAGGCTGATGGGGTTGGGTCCCCTGGCTGAGAAGGAAGTTACAAACGGTGCCGTACTGCTACTGTTCACAGCTCTTGATGGGTATATTACAGCAGTTGGGGACCTGGCACACATGCGGCAGTTTCCAGGAAAAATTCATTATGTTACCAATAATCAAATTAATGCATGATCGAGTATCTCTTTTTTACTAAACAAACTATTTTTAATTACACACATCAAATTGTGTTACAATCCAAAAAATAGCTAGGAGTACCGTACTGTTCTAGCGATGGAATAACTATTTTCATGTACTTTTTTTTGTTTTATTATTGAAGTACGTAGTGTATTTTAATTCTTTCATAAATAGTCACACATCTTTGTCAATTCGAAAAAAATGCAACACAAAAATCTAATAGTGCATCACATTGAGGAAAAATTGAATGGTTTGCAGTTTTCATGAGAAAGAATAGTTTTTGTTTGATCCACACCTTATATATTTGGAATAAGACTTAGAGAGTGTTTGTGGGTTACTTCAATTCTACTTACAAAAAATGATTTTTACATTGATTTTGAAAAAATGCTTAATGTTAAAAGTTTAATGTTTGGGAAAAGGTGCTTCTAGAAAAGTAAAAATTGATAGTATTATGTAAGTAAGTTTTTTGGTAATAGAAAAAGTGAAAAATAATTTAAAAATCTCATTTTCCTTCTTCCAAAAACATTCTTTTCAAAGTTTTTTACAAACGCTTGCCAATTTTATATAGGATTATAATTAAGATGCAATTTTTTTAAAATAAGCCTAACTAAATACTCCCTCTATTCCTTAATTAACTTTACATTCAACATTTCATTGTTTCCAACGTTGATGTTTGACAATTGATATGTAAAAGTATACACTTATAAAACTTATAATAAACCAACATTTCTATAATATATAGGAAAATGAAGAATTCAAAATTAATTTGATATTTGTAAAACAATACGATTTTTATGTAATTAACGATCAAAGTTTACAAAGTTTGACTCAAAAACTCAAAGTGTAAACTTAGATACGGGAGGGAGGGAGGGAGTATATTTTATTTCCCGAATAAGACTTATTGAATCGTATTAAAAGAGTAAATTGATTTAAACTCCCAAAAAAAAAATAGAAGTGAATGAGTTTTATTTGGGAACAAAATGTTATGAATTAATTTATTAATCCTTTATTATTTTGGGAATTTTTACCTGGTGGAGTTGATGTAGTGATCGATTTTGAAGCCATTATTGATATCGACGACGGTCCCCGGTATAATGGTTGGGAGTGGAGTGTCGGAGAGATGGTCGGCTGAGATGACTCCTGCGCCGTTGATGCCTTTAATGTTGTAGTCTTGAGAAGAGCTCCCGAGGCAATACACTATCTTTCCCTTCACCATGCTCGCGCTTAAGCTCCCGTAGTCGCAAGCGCTGTAGTTCCCAGCATACGTCGCATTCTTGTCCCTCGCAAGCGTCCCGCTGGTCAAGGGATACATTTGATTCCCACCCGGCGGCTTGAAGGTGTTGATGGAAACCCCCGAGAAGAGCTGTCCATTCCCCAGCTTCACCCCCGACTCGAACTGCCGGTCACTGCTCGACGCCGCCACCGTCAGGATCCAGGGCGCCACATTCTGGACGGTCCCCAGGGTGGGCCCTTCGTTGCCGGCGGCGGCGGACGTCAGGATCCCTCTCTTCATGGCGTGGAAGGATCCGATGGCAATGGGGTCCTCGAAGAAGTGGCGGGGCGTTCCGCTGACGGAGATGGAGATGATGTCGACGCCGTCGGCGATGGCGTTGTCGAACCCCGCCAGCACGTCCATGTCCTGGCACCCCTGCCCCCAGCACACTTTGTAGCTCGCCAGCCGCGCCGACGGCACTCCCCCGCGCGCCGTCCCTTTTCCTATGCCGTACAGGCTCGCGCCATTCACCACGCGCCCTCCCGCGATTGATGCGATGTGAGTGCCGTGCCCATCCAGGTCGCCTGGGGTCACTTGGTCCGCCGGAGCACCGCCCTCCAAGTTGAAGTATCTCGCTCCGATCACTTTGCTGAACACATGCATTTTTATTTAAGCAAGACTAAAACATATCAGCTCAAACGATCATACATGCATATTATTTTAAGCTCCTTGTCAATAAATTAAACTCCCTAGAATTTTCTCTGTTATTTATTTATTTATTTCCTTGATTACTCCTATATACGGAGTAACACACATGTACATAGTACGCAGTATTTTCTACGTAAAATTTACCTTATTTCCTTACTCCTAAAACACAATTTTACCTTATTGGAATCGATAAAAAACTGAAATCATAGTAAAATTAAAGAAGCATTTTACTGAAATTGACAATTATTATTAGGGTAAAATAATTTAAATATCTCAAACTTTGATGCGGTGTGAACTGTGTAACCTAAACTTGCATATGTAATATATATATACCTCGAACTTTATATAAAAAGTTATTTTCGCACCATGCTTATACGGAGTATGTTTTTTACAAATACAAATTTATTAGAATAATTATATAATTTAAAATACCTTAAGTCTTTTAGAATGCAATTAACATTCTATAATTTCATTTGTGAAATAAATAATATTACAACCGCTACAATTTAATTTTAATTACATCATCATAAATGTTTTGTATATTTAAAGTTATGCACTTAACAACATAAAATTACATTTATGAAAAGATATATGGTGATGGTGCTAACACAACTTTTTTATATAAAATTTGAGGTGTATATATATACTAAAGTTACGTGCAAATTTAAGGTATTTATGTCACACCTATTCAAAGTTTAGGATATCTAAATTATTTTTCCTTTCATATTAATGTACTAAGTATATATGCCAAATAAACGTCACTTTAAAAAAAGAAATAATCCTATAAAGTGTGACCAATTTTGAATTGCATATAATAATAAAATAAAATAAAATTTGTGTTATTGAGATTGAATTGTTTGGATAAAGAAGAGCTAGAAAACTAACATACAATTGTTTCTTTAAAAGGGGGAAGATTTTTGGAGGAGAAATGAATAAATAAATAGGTAGTAGAAGAGGTAGGGAGAAGGTTACTTGTTGCATTTTGTGAAGTTAACTCCGGTATCACATTTTCCCTTCCATTTGGCGGGAGGAGGCCCAAACCCAGCGTCATTAAAACTCGGTGATTCAACCCATATTCCTGTCCATCGAAAACAAATCAAATTAAACGATCGAACGATTGGTATGAAATTATTATTAGGTTTAATTAATACAGTAAATGCTTAATTATTAGCATGTAACCGATGGATATATCCAACAATTCAACCTGTGTCAAGAAGACCAACGATCAAATTACTCTCAGTCTCTTCATTTCTTTTTACCGTCGTCGGCATTCCTAAGAAGTCCCATGACCTTGTGGTAAGGAGTTTCCTCACCGTGTTAGGGAATACTGAAATAACCCTTTCTTGCCCTGCACCCACGTAATAATTAATCATTAAGATACATCATACATGTATGTATATATGTTATAATTAACTCTCAGGATTATCGCTCATCTTTCTTAATTAGTTATTAATCCATCTTTTATTTTTCCCAGCCCAGCTAAAATTACATCGACAATATAATAATGAATTGATGAAGTAGCTTGGTAGTAGAATTGAAATACTCCCTCCCGAAAAGGTTTTCTTGATGAATAAACTTCAACTTTGACCATTGATATTTTTTAATACGAAAATATTTGGAATATAAAAAATAAATCATAATGTTCCTTATTCAAAATATTTTCATAAAAGTATAAAATTTATAAATTATACAAATATAATACTGTAATTAAAATCATTGTCCAAATTTTACCTGATCAAGAAATGTCAGTATAGCAAACATTTTCAGGAGAGGAGGTAGTATTTCTTTTAGAACTCCGTAATAAATAAAAGAATAAAATAATCTTCGGAACAAAAAAAAAAAGAATAGAGTACGTACGGGATAGAGTGCGTGCTTCGTGGGGCAATAACTTTGCCACGAACCCACTAAAGCTTTTGCTGTAGCTATGAATCCTTGATTTTCTTGCCACTTCTTCACTGGAATTCATCAATCATATCCACCGTTGATCAATAAATAAAAAATAATAAAAGGCCGGACAAATAATAAAGTAATCCGCATACAATTAATTTACTACTGTTAACATCATCATCATCAATTCACTGTAATTTTTTCCTATTTACACCATTACCATCATCTTATAGTACGACAACTGTATGTACTTACTCTCCAATAGCCTGGGTAAGTAGATTATGGTGCTCATCCACAGCACTGATCGAATTATGCGCCAATAGTTCTCCCAGGTACACGATGTATGGCTGTTTACATGCAACCACGCACGTGTAACGTAACAATAACATAACATGTTTTTTTCATTAATGGACGTACATCGAATGCCTCTACAAATATATATATATATATGTGTGTGTGTGTGTGTGTGTGTGTGTGTACCTTTCTTTTGTTGTCATCGGATGCGTTGCACACCCTAACAACGAGGAAGAAGATGAAGCAAAACAAGATGGTCTTCATGGATGCGTGCGTATATATAAATATTTATTATAAGTTCTCAGTTAGTGTTTGTTTACGGTATGTGCTTTGTGATAAGCAATTGATCGATCAGTGGAATGAAGAAATGTAGAAGTGGGGAGTGAGATATTAAAGAGGGTAGTAAAAATGGGGTTAGTGATACTGAGAATGTAGAGGCATTCGATGAGGATCTCACAACTAACTACTTAGCTTCTGAAAGTTTCTAACCCACCCATAATTCCCTATTATTTCGTTCATTTACTGAGAATATATGTATATATATATATATATATATGTCCATGAGAAAGATCATTGAAATAGCCCAACCGGTGTGAGGTAATTGTAATACACTTGTATATATACTACCTTCGTCCCTTAAAACTTTGCCAAAGTTGACCGGCACGTAGAATATTAAACTAAAAAATGTGTGATTGAGGTTTGTGCAGAGGAGAGAGAAATAACAGAAACCACAAAATAATTGATTAAAAGGGAAAGTGTCAAAGTTTTATGGGACGTCCCAAAAAGGAAAGATGGACAAAGTTTAACACCATGACAATGTTTTTTTATTTTGTAAATATAAATTTATGGTGTTAAATATATGACTTGTATATATATGACTTATGTTAACACCACTTCCTTTCATTTCTCCGTCACCAAACGTCTTCAGTTAATGCATATTCCCTCGCTGCCTCGCTCCGTTCACTTCAGCTTCTCTCCCATTAAATATTCCATCACATTTTTTTCAAATTAATTAGTTAGCACTTTGTTTAGTCCTTGAAAATCCCTAGATTAAATAATTTGCCCGATCTACAGATGTAGTGGTACGTGACCCCCTCCTCCTCCTCGCATACAGGTTTCCACACATTACTTTCATTCATGTAGTCACATCACTATCTAAACTTTCCGTCAACTCAAACCTGCTACTCAACACATGTTATTTATCATAAAAGTACAACTGCAAATTTCGAGTACGGAATCCATTCGACAACATGTCATTTATGAACCGATAAATTTGACCTTGAACCTTGGAAGTATAATTATCTTGGTTGAGTCTACACAATTGTTTATCATATAGTTGTAAATCCATATTGATACGAACGCAAAAACATTGTTATATATGCAATGTGAAAGTGTTTTAAATGAGGATCGTGAGAAGTAAATAAATTAATGTCAGCAATCGGAAAGGCATTTCATGTAGATTAAGAACGACCTCACCCTGACACAACACATGTGAGGAGGTTCACATTCTAAGTGCTTTGCACCACCAAACAGGAACTCACTCACACATTGAAGCTTTAATGCGCACAACTACAAAGAGAAGAATGCGTAGTCTTGGTCGTGGAGATGGACTTGGGGTACACACTGGTGTTATGTAGGCATTTTTTTTTCTGTCCCATACAAAACGTATTTGACAAATACATTGTCAGGCACAAACAAAAAAAACGTCTATACAGACACACGTGTGTAAGAGTGTATAGACAAAGTGTGTACCTTTAAATTTTTTCTTGGTCCTAACTACACATAGAATATTCCAACAAATCCAAACTACAATAAATGACAAACAAGGGGCAAGATGGGCAAGAAGCAGTCTGAATGAATTCACAAGGGCAATGAACCGAACAACAAGTACAACATCAAATTGCAAAGGAACAAGACAACCAAACCTTTTAAAGAGGACAATATGTTTTATGCACATCATTTGAATGATAAGATTTTGTGGACATTTGCTCATCAAGGGGAAAAAATTACGTTCGCAAAGAGAAACGCGTTAGCAAGCTTCAAAGAGGAAACAAGTTCACGTCTGCTTTCTTTTAATTAATGACAGAGGGCAAAATACTGAAGCAAAGAAAGTAGCCTTACCAATTGAAAAAACGGTGTGAAAGTAAGAGCACTAAACTCATGACAAGAGGACCAAAACTAGCGGTCATTCACCCTTTATAATTTCCTCCCTCCCGAAAAGGTTCAATATATTGTCTTTTCTTAATCAATGATGTCAAACTTTGAATAATAATTTTAATTATTATATTTGTATACTACATATAATTTATAAATTCTATAGTTTTATGAAAATGTATTGAATAAGGAAGATTTTGATATAATTTTCATATTCAAAATAATTTTGTATTAAAAAAAATGATTGATCAAAGTTTGAAATCATTGATAAAGAAAAATCAATTTGACGAATTTTTCGCCACGGAAAGATTAATAGGAAATACTCCCTCCGTTCCCAAAAATACTTCCCACTTTCCTTTTTGGGCTGTTCCCAAAAATACTTCCCACTTTCCCCTTTTGGACAATTTGTGTGGCTCACATTCATTTTACCTTTTTCTTACACAACCACAACCATACATTTCCACTTTATTCCACTTTCTTAATAAGCGTGCCAAGTCAAACCGGGAAGAATTTTTAGGAACGGAGGGAGTATGACAGTTAGGACTTGGCAATAGGAAAAAGCTTTTTTAATGGAAGAAAAAGTTGAAAAATTATTGTGTCCATAACTTAAAGAAAATAAAGATTCGACCACAAAATCAAAATTACGATTATAGTTAATAAACTCCATATTGATCGTATAAAAGCCCGTACGCGATTCTTATTGACCAGGCTATGACCAGGCAGCTTCCCTCCAAGATTTGCTTCTCATTGACCTTCCAAACCACCACCAGATCAGCGGCTGAACACGCCGCCCCATGGAACGCCAAACTACAAGAGCTTTCCAAACAAGGGAAATTCGAAGATGGCCTGACGCTTTACCGCCGAATGCTCCGCTCCAATGCCTCCCCAAACGCTTTCACTTTCCCTTTCGTCCTCAAGTCCTCCGCCACCCTTTCAATTACTCTCTCCGGAGAACTACTCCATTGCCACGTAATTAAGTCCGGGTGTGAATCTGAGCCGTTTGTACAGACAGCGTTGATCTCTATGTACTGTAAGTGCGGGCTAGTAGAAAACGCCTCTCAGGTGTTCGACCAAAACCCGCAGTCAAGAAAGCTCACAGTTTGTTACAATGCATTGATATCAGGGTATATTACCAACTCCAATTTCAGGAAGGGATGCCTGTTGTTTCGTGAAATGAGGTCAAACGGGGTAGTGTTTAGTGCGGTTACCATGCTGGGTCTGGTTTCAGGCTGCACTGCTCCCATGCTATTGGGTGTTGGGATGTCTTTTCATAGCCTGAATATGAAATGCGGCTTGGAAACAGATTTGGCTATTATAAACTGTTTATTGACAATGTACCTAAGGTGTGGGTCTATTGAACTTGCAAGGGATCTGTTCAATCACACCCCAAGAAAGGGATTGATCACTTGGAATGCTATGATCACGGGGTATGCCCAATACGGGCTTGCCGAACTAGTCTTGGACCTGTACTGCAAAATGGACTTGTCAGGCATCCAACCTGACCCAGTGACCTTTGTTGCAGTTCTATCCTCCTGTGCCAACCTCGGTGCTAAGAAAACCGGTTTTGAAGTGGAAAAGAGAATCGAGTCTCATGGGTCAATGATGTTAAATATTTTCTTGAGGAACGCTCTCATCAATATGTACTCGAGGTGTGGTGACTTGGGGAGAGCTCGTGCTATATTCGATGACATGCCGGAGAAAAACATAGTGACGTGGACCGCTATGATTGGCGGGTACGGAATGCATGGATTAGGAGAGACTGCCAAGGAGCTGTTTGACGAGATGATAAAATCGGGCATCCAACCCGATCGGACTGCTTTTGTCAGCATCTTGTCCGCGTGTAGTCACGCTGGATTGACCAAACAAGGATTGAAGTATCTCTCTATGATGGAAACAGATTTCGGGTTGACACCGGGTGCAGAGCATTATTCATGCATTGTTGATCTATTAGGCCGGGCAGGTCGCGTGCAAGAAGCCTACAAACTGATAGGTGATATGAGAGTGAAACCGGATGGTGCCGTTTGGGGGGCTCTGCTGGGAGCTTGTAAGATTCACAAAAACAGGAAGCTAGCCGAGTTAGCGTTTAACCGTGTTATTGAGACAGAACCCATGAACATAGGATATTATGTACTATTGTCAAACATCTACACAGAAGGGAAGGACTGGGAAGGGGTGCGAAGAGTGAGAGTGATGATGAGAGAGAGGGGGCTAAAGAAGGATGCGGGGTACAGCTATGTTGAGATCGAAGGGAGGATTCATGTGTTTGTTGCTGGAGATAGAAGTCACCCTCAACTGAAAGAGATACACAATGTGTTGGGCAGGCTAGAAGAGAGATTCGGGGAGGATGGAAGAAGCAAGGCGCCAGAGAGGCTGCACAGTGAAAGACTGGCAATTGGATTCGCGCTCTTGAACACACGTATAGGAGCTGACATAACGGTCATTAAGAATTTGAGAATATGTGGAGATTGCCATATGTTTTTTAGGCAGGTTGCTAGAGTCTTGGTGGACCGTTTGTTCGTTGTGAGAGATGCAACTCGGTTCCACCATTTTAGAAATGGGTCCTGTTCTTGTAATGAATATTGGTGATAAGGTCTAAAACGTTGAGTGGATGATGCAACCATACATGGTTCAACTTCGGATCGTGTGAGAAGATTTATATAGCAATAAATCTATAATGGGGTCTCATTACAATCTTAAATTTCTTGGGATTTCTATTTCATATTTTCCGCGAAACCCTATGTATTTCGATTTCAATGATCTCTCATTGTCATACTCCCGCGCAAATCGATGTCATCTTCCTTTTCCGCTACAATTCACATATCAGCTGTGTTTTCTAATCTTCTTTCTTTTGTTTTGTTTTGTTTTGTTTGTCTTCATCATCTTTTTTCTTCGTAATTACCCTTGTTTTTTATTACTTCATTTACCCCAATATAATGTTTCATCTTACTTTTCTTAATGAACAAAATTTCATTGTATTTTCTAATTATTTTGCAGCCATTTTTTAATTTGGGTTTTTAATAAATAAAACTATTAGAACACGTTTTACTTCACTGGTTAGTAAAAGGTGTTTATTAAGACTCGTGATAATAAGCGACGCATAAAATAAACAATGTTGTAAGCTCATGTTTACTTCAAAAGATTTAAAACACCGTTGAACATTAAAATGTCCAAAATAACCCTATAGATCTATACACATACACAAACATTCATGACCACAAGTATATAATATAATATGTGAGGTCACCTTGTACGCTTAGTCGCTTACCCACACCCCTAACCCCTACCCCGCCCTGTACCCCCACCCCTCAACTTACCCCCAATTCCACACCCTTGACCCCACCCCTTCCCTACCCCTACCCTTACCCCGACCTTACCCTCCACCCCTACTCCCACCCATACCAACCCCCCACCCTACTCGTAGGGGTTGGGTCGAGGTAAGGGCAGGTGATATGGGGTAAAGGGGTAGGGGTCGGGGTATGGTAATGGGAGTGGGGTCGGGGTCAGGGGTGGGGTCGAGGTGGGGTCGAGGTAGGGGCAGGTGGTAGGGGTAAAAGGGTAGGGTTGAGGTAAGGGGTACAAGTGGGGGTAGGGAGTAGGGGGTAAAGGGGCATGTGGCGAGGGTGGGGGTGGGGTAGGGGTAAGGGGGTCGTAGGGTAGGGGTTGGGTAAGGCGGTGGGGGAGGGGCCGGGATTGGGGTGGGGTCGAAGTAGGGGCAGGTGGTAAGCGGTAAAAGGGTAGGGTCGGGGTAGGATAAAGGTAAGGAGTACTAATGGGGGGTAGGGTATGGTCGGGTCAAGGGTGGGGTGGGGGTGGGGGGTGGGGTCGAGGTAGGGGCAGGTGGTAGGGGTAAAAGGGTAGGGTCGAGGTAAGGGGTACAAGTGGGCGGTAGGGGGTAAGGTGGGGGTGGAGGTAATGGGGTAGGGGTGGGTCGAGGTTGGGCCAGGGGGTAGGGGTAAAGGGGTAGGGGCGGGGGGTAAGGGGTGGGGTCGGGGTCGGGTCAAGGTAGGAGAACGTGGTAGGGGGTAAAGGGGTAGGGTAAGGGGTGAGGGTGGGGTAGGGAAGGTGGTGGAGGGTAGGGTCAGGGTAGGGGTAAGGTGGGGTGGGGTCGAGGGGTCGAGGTTAGGGTCGGGGGTAAGGTGTAACACTTCACATTAATTTAAAAGGATTAATAGTACTACTCATACCAACAAGGTGCATCTCCTTTTAAGGTAGCTCATTAGCCAAGAACTCCAAAGTTAAGCGTGCTTGCACGGGAGAAGTCTTGGGATGGGTGACCCCCCTGAGATGTTTTTCAGGGCGCGCACGAGTGAGGACAAAGTGCGCGAAAAGACTAGTGGTGGTTTTTTAGGACAGTACTAGAGGTCAGAAGTAACTACCTCAGGGCCTACCGGGCCGCGGTGTTACAAATGGTATCAGAGCAACCCTGTGACAGTGTGCTGACCCATTGGATATCGGGTGGGCACTTAGCGCGGAGTACCCCCCTATTAAACAAAACCCCTTCTCAAGCTAGGAATCTTATCTCGGAGTTGGCCGAGAATTGTAGACACTATGATCGGCGGTCATCTAAAAGAGTTATGGCGGCAGAATCTAACACCTCGTTGGAAAGTCAAGTGGCCGGCTTGACTTCTTTGGTTAAAGAGTTTCTCTTAAATCCAAAAACAAAAAAAGTCAAGGTCTGCGGCATATGTTCAACACAAGGGCATCCCACTGATTTTTGCCCAACACTACAAGAGGAGAATCCCGAACAAGTCAACGCATTGGGGTTCCAAGGTCAAAGGAGGTACGATCCGCATGGCAACACATACAATCCAGGATGGAGAGATCATCCAAATTTAAGGTATGGAAATCCTCAACAACCAAATTCTTCTTTCCAACAATACAACCAGCCCTCCCAAGGCCAAACTTCAAGCTCAAATATGTCCACTGAAGACATGATTCGAGCACTTACCATGAGTGTATCAACGATACAACAAAGTGTGGCCCAATTTCAAGAAACGACTAAATCTAGCATTCAAAATTTGGAGAACCAAATGAGCCAAAATTCGAGTGCTGTGAGCTGGCTCGAGGCAAAAGATTCAGGTAGACTCCCCTCTCAAACGGAGCAAAACCCAAGACAACATGTTAATGCAATCATGTTGAGGAGTGGGACGACATTGAAAGAGGTGCATAGGGAAGAAGAGCAAGATGAAAAGGAGGTTGGCCTCGAAGAAGATTTTCAACCGGAAGAGAGGACCATAAAAGCAAAGTTTCCACCATTGTCCTCATATGAACCACTACCCCCATTCCCCGAAGCACTGAAGGAAACAAGGAAGCAGAGCAACCTAGAAGAATTCTAGTGAGAGCAACTCTCAACTCTCATCCTCGGCATGAGAGTGAGTATTATCATCTTCATATATTTGTATAGATCTTTATAAATGAGATTTTCATTAATAAAAAATGATAGCTATGAAACATTTTACATTAAAAAAAATATTTGTATGATCTGTAAAGAAAAAAAATATGGCTTCTCTAGGAAAAACCTCTAGAAATAAAGATTAGGGGGATAATGTGATTATTAAACTCGACATACATGGTCAAGGTTTTTGATCGGGTTGATGGCCCTTTTATCAGCTAGCTATTCTACTCAAGATTTGATTTTCGATTTAGATCATCAGCCTGATAATGAATCGTATCAAATCTATTCGCCTTTCCAATATTATCATTGGGATACTTCATGGTTGCTTTCATATCTCTAGAGGAGTGAAACAAGGCGATACATTATCTCCATTTTTATTCGTCATAATGCTTGAGGCTTTTTCCAAAGGTCTGCATTCTCTTGTTTAGACACATCAAATTTAGTCTTATGTTGTGGCTCGAGGTATGTACTCCTACAATACCACACTTGGCATTCGTGAATGATCTCCTAATCTTCATAAGTAGCTTCTCTAATTCACTATTTAATTACAAAATTTTCATACAATTCTATCAAAGTGCTACAAGACAGAAATTAGCTTACAAAAGAGCACTTTTGTGATAAGATCTAAAATATCTGCTGCCAAGGAAAATAATTTAAACATAAAATTGCTCCAGTTTACCATTTAAATATCTAGCCCCTTTGCATGGAGGAATTAGTAGGGTTAAACTTTTGGTGGATTTTGTTTTTTAATTTGTGAAAAAACTCCTATCTTGCAAGGCTATAGTTATATCTCAAAGTGGCAGCTAGTGCTTATTCCATTGCATTATTTAGCATCTCATAATCTTCCTAAAAATAAAATCTCCATTTTGGAACAAAAGACATCTTCTTTCTACCGGGGAGTTTCTTCCAAACATAAGGCTCATCATTGAGTTGCTTGGAGTCACATTTGATATCCTAAATTGGAAGGTGGTGTTAGGGGTTAGAGCTGTTTCGAACCTACAACTTGCTTTCTCCTATAACATATAGTCGAAATGGAAACAAAACTCTTCTTTATGGGCTCCCTGTATGCATAAGAGGTACACCAAAAAGGAAAAACATGATCCCAAAGATTGTTGATTCATCAATCTAGAAAAGAATATGTCAAGTTCATACAAAATGTAAGAAACTGGTGAAATCTAAAATGGATGGAAGCCTATCATTTTCTCCTTGAAAAAGATGGTAGATTCTCCAATTCCTCTTCCTATCATGCCTGCAGAAAAAACAAAGGTTCTCCTCTTTCTCTATAAAGAATTAAAGATAAAAAGAGAACGCGTAACATTTAGATGTTTCTTTGGAAACTTTACCTCGACATCCTTCCCTTTCCTCCTTTACTTTATAAGTTCAGAGTGTTAATACCTTCAAGATGTCTCTTTTGTCTAAATGCTTCAACGATTTCGGCCAATGCTTGTTTTCATGTCTCTCTTCCCTGTATATTGGCATTTGTTTTTAGGAATTTATCTCATTCCCATATCAAACTGCAACAAATCAAACAATTTATCATTTCTTAATGGTTGGAAATAAGGAATAATTTATCATTTGGCTATGGTCATTTGGTTTGCAGAACAAGAAGTATAAAACATTCAGCTTCAAACTATATCAAGAGGGATTCATTTCAATGGACATTCAAACCTAAGTTAGATTTTTGGTTAAAACCCATCTCAGGTTTTAGATTGAATGGTCATGTCTCAAACTCTTCCGACGTAGCACTGTTTGCAAAATAGTAGAAGTTAATTAATTTAGAGTTCACCTTCCCATGAAAGGAGGATTCACTTCTTTCATAAAACAAAGGTATTTCAGTAGCGCTAAAGTGGGAAGTTCAAGAAGGTTTCTAAGAATTTATCATGGAAATTGATTCCTACGCTTTTTTTACCTTGTTGAAGAAATCCAAATCTATCTCTGGACTGGCGCAAGAGATCATCAAAGACGTGCAACTTTCTCTGAAGCAATTCAATATATCAGTCTTACATCCTGTATTCGTCTTCTTTTAAATTTTGTTTTTGAAATTTTCATGATTGATCTAAAACACATAACACCCATGTATGCATGTGCATGTGTGTACATTTTTTCACAGAATATTACAAAAAAGGTATTGTAAAAGTTGTGAAACTCTTACCAAATGGGTTGGGTAAGTCGTGGGGTTAGAGAAAGCAGTTAAATAAATAGAAATGAAGGAAATCAAATAATGGAACGTAATTAATGACAATCGTTCTGAAAGTTTATTGTTTAACAAAACGCAACTACAAGAAATTGATAAAAGAGTCCTACTTATACATATATCGTCTTCTTAAGAGGTTTATGAATCAAATGGTTATAATGAGTTCTTATTTCTCTCTCTCTCTCTCAAGAAATTGACAAAATAGCCCTCTGTTTATATCGGCATGCAGTCACACATGATATGATTAATTAAGAAATTGTTGATAATGATGAGTAGGCCGCTTCAATGAGAAGCCTCTTGATGTGATCAAGGATCTCTTGCATTTGTTCCCTGGAATGCAAAGGTGAGGGATAAACACAGACACAATCGAGTTGTCCTTCTATTATGGTATCAAAAAAAGCGATTGATGGTCCCACGCCATGAACGGACGAGCACCCCACGAAGTCCTCCATTCCCATGCTCTGACGGTGCAGCAGGGTGTCATGAACAACCACTGGCTCCTCGAACACAGTAATCATAGAGCTCCTCAATGCTGACGAAGATGTCAGGCTCGGATTTTCTAGGGCCTTACACATCAGGAAGTTAAGATCTGCCATGTCAGAGAAGTGTTTGTTGCATTTTTTGGAGTTGGCGAATTCAGTGTAGCTTGTCTTTGCCAAGTCCCATAGTTTTTCTCCACCATTAACCTTGTGTACATTTAGTACTGCAGAGTGATAGAATCCTGCATCATTAAATTATTATCTCATCGATCTAGCCTCATTCTACATATGTTTAAGTATTATGGAGGCCGGTCAATGATTACACTCATGAATGTCTTCTACTTACTCTCTTCCTAGCTAAATAGCTCTCTGATTTATAATTTGGATCGTTCCAAATTTATTATCTCGCTTCCTTTTAAAAAAACAATCTACCACAAAAGTAAGTGCAATATACTTGAAACGATGAACCAAGAGGAACAAAAAAAATCAAAAAGAAAAACAAACAACGAACTAATTATAAGAAGAATGCATGAGTTTAATACTTACCAATATGGATTGAAGAGGGGGACAGACTATTTAGCTTACCAAAATGGTGACTGGAAAGTGGAGAGTTCAGAATAGAACGACAATCCGTAAGTGTCACCACCCCATACTTGTTTTTGTGATTGTCATCAGATGAATGAGCGGCTGCTATCAGTCCTGCTGCCGTTAAAACTCCACATAATTTAATCCCAGCAGAATTGCAGCCCTATACATTAAAATATTAGACGCATCTATAATCTATTCAGTACAGAAAAAACCACCGACCGACGATCACATCATGTATGGCCGGAGCTATCATAACTTGAGAGATCACATCATGTATGTTTTTACTTATACTTGGGGTTGGCCTCTTTCTATTGTATTCTTCTCTTTGTTTTTCCCTTTTGATCTTTGCACTCTTGTTTACTCGTTCAGTCGTTCTTTACTTAAAAAAATCTATTCTCTGATGCCAAAAGTACATACACCACTCCACTACATCCGAAGTTTTCAAAAAATACTCCAAATTTCAAAGTACCGATTTAAAACTCTTACCAAAACATAAGACAGTTATAAACAATAATTAAGTAAGCTAATTTTAGTGAAATAATTTGGATGAGTATGTAATATTACTGTGCCATTGAAAATAATTGTTCTGCTATATGTGTATTATATTTAATGATTTAGATGATTACATTTTCATTTAATAGTGTTAACTATTTTCTAAAATAAAAATGAGAACTTTTAAATGGATCGTTCAACAGAGACAAATGAAGGCAATATTCTATTTCATTTGCTCAAAGATTCATATATCCCATGTTTCCTTCGAAACATTATGAACATTAACCAGTAATATTCATAAGTGATTAAAAGAATATGCCTCACCCAAATTGTGCATTATGATCAGAGCAAATAAAAATTAAATTGTAAGATTAGGAGTATAAATTGAAGTTTATATTCCCAAAAAAAGAAGTAACTCTTCCTATCATATCCTTGTCCTTATCATGCTTTAATAATTTTTAATAAAAATAAAACATAAAAAAGAAAAAATGTAAAAATAATTGAAAATAAACATGCCTCAGCCGCCACCTTAGCCATCTTCAAGCACCGCCACCTCCGATCGCTAAAAAAATGTCAATCTACAGAAAATGTCAACTTGATGGAAATTATAAAAGATGTTACCTTAATGATATTCTCGGGAAAATATGGCATTTTTTTAGACATCAACAGTGGCGGTACTAGGAGGTGGAAGATGCAACCTCATACTTTTTAATTTTTTCCATGTATTTTTCACAAGTTTTTTATTCTTCTATTTTTTGTTTAATTTTTATTTTATGTGTATAAATTCATTACAATTTTTTTTACTAATTTATAATTTGTTTTTTATATTTATGTTTTTAGTATTAAGAGAACTAGGAAAAACTATCGATTTGTTTCTTGTACTATCACAGAAAAGTCAATTAGGTCTTCATACTTAAATAAATCAATCAAGTTCCCGAAATTTAAAAACAATGTTCAGTTGGGTCAATTAGCAAGTCACCTTTGACGTGGCACAGATGTTGTAGCCTATTCGGCAATGACTTTTTTCATGTGACACACGCGGCAGTCCACGTGTGCCCCACATCATTCGTAAATGACTGTTAAGGCATCCACGTGTGTGCCACATCAGCGGGTGACTTGCTGACGTGATGTGTAACCTGCTAATTGGCCTAATTGAACATTTCGCATTTTACATGACAGTACAAGGACTAAATTGACATCTTTTCCCAAAAAATATGAATTTGTTATTAATAAAATAAGTCTTATTAGGTAGTAGGGATGGACCCGGGCCGGTCCGGTTCCGGGCCTGGCCCGGGCGGGCTTTTTTTGCAAATCCATGGGCCAGGAATCGGCCCGGGTTGATACCGGGCCCGGGCCTAACCGGGCCGGGCCGGGCCCGGTTCAATGTCTATTTTTTTTTTTGCTTTCTTGTTATCCCCCGACCCCTCCCCCCTCACCCCCACCCCCCAAACCTCCCCAAAACACCCAGCCCTAGCCTAGGAAAAGAAAAAAAAAATGAAAAAAAAAGACCCAGACCCGGCCTGAACCGCCCGGGCCGGTTCGCCCAAAACTGGACTCGAGCCCGGCCCGCCCGACCCGCCCAAACGGGCTAAAAGCCCGGAACCGGCCAACCGATCCCAGTCCGGTCCGGGCCCGCACAGTAGCGGGCCGGTTCGGCCCGGCCCAGTCCATCCCTATTAGGTAGGGCTATAGGAAGGGTAGAAGTTATTTTTATTATATACAACCTTCGATCCAATATTATCTTCGTTCTTTTCCTTTTTATTCGCCTAAAAATTATCTTCATTTTCCTTTTGACAAAGAAGCCGGGATTTGTATTATTTCGGGATATTTCTGTTTCCTATGTGAAACTCTCGAGCACGCAATTTGCATTTTTTTATTCTACAAGTAAAGTTAAAACCGGAGATAATATTAGAAAAGAGAGCATAAAAGTGTGTTTAACATTTACCGATTATTAGTTAGGGAATAAGGGATTACGACTAGGGTTGTTAGATGATTTCTTTTAGCGCGATCCTAGTAGGGAGTTGAAATTGGATGGGTGGGTTTCAAACTTACTTCAAGTATTCGTGAAGTGTGACTTCGGCTGATCCGCAGCCTAAGAACACGAGAAGTGCGGGGGGCTTTTACGTCTTTAAACTTTATATTGGTCAACCGAAAAGAGTTGAACGAATACCCAAGCACGTCCAAACCGTGAGCCCACAGCTTCTTCTTTGACTTCGCCACCGGCATGACGTCCTCTATTCCGAAACTACCCTCCCCTTGGTTCTGTATGCCCCCCTCTGCTGCCCCCACCAACTCACTCAGCAGCGACTCCGCCGTGGTCCGGTCACACACGGCCGTGTGGAAGCGGAGCGCGACGACATGCCTGGCATCGGGCAGGGCATAGACGGTGGCAAAGACGAGGTCGACACCGGAGGGCGGGAAAAGGGCAGGGTTGGCCCAGGGCAGGTTGTTGCTGAGTTCGTGCTCGAGGATTAGCTGGAGAGGGGGGAGGGGGGAGTCGGGGTCGGAGAGGGAAGGGAGGAGATGAAGAGTGGATGATTTGTCGAGGGGCTGGATTTGGATTTGGGAGGTGGGGGGTGTGGTGAAGGAGAAGGCCTTCTTGGTGGCGCTGTAGTGGAGCTTTGACCTGAGGACAGGGTGGGCGTCTAGGATGGTGTTGAGGAGTGGGCGGAGAACGGATGGGTCCGCCGCCGCCGTATTGGACTTCAGCTGAAGGGCCAAGACTGTGATGCCAGTGCCGGCGGAGACGGCTCTGCACCAGCTCTGCTCCGTCCCCCCCACAACCCTCTCTTGCGAACTCTTCTCCACAACGAACATATTATCCGATCCGGCCGGCCGGCCTAATAATTACTAGCTAGGAGTATTGATTTGATGAGGCCGTCCGTCGATCTGTCGTCAATTTATTTATTTCCATGTTCACCGATTGCATGATCCAATCAAAACTTTATACATACATTCTCAACTAACGTCTATTATTATATCATATCATTTCCCATGCATAATAAGTAAGTCATGGCCATACATACAAACCAAAAATGGCAAGTGTTGAATTGGTGTGTGGATGATGAAGACCGAAACAGCTATACACACGATATCATTAATGTGTACATGATTAATTGTTGCAAAAATTAAGAATCTATTGAATTAACACTAGCTAATTTTGCTTCGGTTAATTAATTGTCATGGACTGATGGAATACATACAATGATTTATGATTTTATATGCAGCGAGTGGTGTCATGAAATGCGTACGGCGTATCATGTAACTACTTGCCTTTAATTGATTTGATTACGTTATACCTTTTCTAGACCGGTTTTGAATTAATTGTTGAAAGACTACTACTACTTGGCCGGTATAAACACCACATGTGCGTGGTGGCCGGCTGAGCTTTACATTCAATGGGCGTGTCTCATCATCTCTTGAGCCATGTGCTTGTTCGCTCGCTTCATATTACAAAAAATGTACTCCTTATTAAATTCCAAATTGGGGTGAACTTGTAACACCGTCCCCAAGTATGTTTACTTTTAGGTAAATTATGTATTGAACCTTGAGAAATGGTTAATAAATTCACGAGGTTGTAAATTTTGTTGTTACTTTTGCGTGAATAGTAAATTGCACGTGAGACTCACACTGAGAATGGGGACGACCCAATATTCAAGTCTCACATATTATATTCATCTTGGTCTAGATAATATTTATATAGTGATGGATATCCTGATTGGGCCATAGGAAGACACAGAATTGACCAGTCAGTCAAACAAGGCCCAGATCACCAGATGAGTAATTTATCTAATAACAACTCGAAATGGATTCCGAGCCCGTAGTGATTGGAAATATGAGATATATTTTATTTGATCTGATAAAATAAAATATAATTAAAACAGTCTGATAAATGCAACTTTCGGGACCGATTGTACACATCGGGACATAATGGGATGACCCTCCACATGAGTCGGGGCCACCCCACGTTTTTTAGAGCTCAAAGTTGACAAAGGGGGCAGCACAACATGGGTTGACGTGTGTGGGGGGGGCTGAGTGTGATGGTTGGGTGAGAGTTGACCCAAGGTGGACCCCCCTCACTTATTTTCCATTTGAGACTAAAGGAGTCTCCTCACTCACTTCCCCATTATCTTGTGCGTCCAAACCACCCCAACCAAAGAGAAGAGCTATGCAAACACCATACTCCATAGCCAAATTCGAAATCAAGAAGACACGGTCCAAGGAGGAAGATTAAAGAAGGAAAAGTGAGGGAAAAAGTAAAGGATTAAGGTAATAACCTTATAACATCATTTTCATTTCTCATCTAATCCGCTATGAATTATACATCATATGGAGGACCCCTAGGATTGTTTGACATGTTTAGAGGTGTAGAATGAGAGGTTGGAAGTTAGTTCTAAGTCCAAGAACGGACATAGAAGCCAAAGTGACCAGTTCGATTGAAGATAATCTTTTAGAGGTTATTTGTGTTGTCATAAACTTGCCTAAGGTATTCCTTGAGCTTTTCGCGGAGTTGAAAGAATCGCCGGAGTGCAACAAAGTTCCCCGGAGTTTCGTTGGAGTTCAACTTAGAAGGGTAGAACGAATTAAAGTTCATTCAAGGTGAGTGGATGACTTAATGTCTTGTAACTCTTTGAGTACGTAAGTATGAAATTACCTAAATAAATGTTATATGTGTTCATAATGATGTTTAAAATGGTTTAAGCAAGTGATTAGCGAAGATGATTAGGATTAGATGAAACGAACCATAATGTTATGAATGAAAAATGATATGAAAATGATATAAAAACATATGTGATTGATGGATCACCGACCTAGGGGTAGCTGTAATCCGAGTAAAGTAAGAGAGAAAGCTGATCGAAAAGTTGAGATAAATATTTTAGCAGAGTAACAGCAAGAGAATACATAAATCGATCCCTTTCCAGAAGCTAGAAGGTGATTTATACTAAAAGGCAATACTTGGTGCTCAAATAAAAAGATGTCGAACTAATAAAAAGAAGAGGCATGTCAATCTGTTCTAACAAACTAACAGTCTAAGTCGATGGGGAGTCGCCACGTGTAAAGGTGATTGGACAGATAGTCTGGGACAACTGGCTAATTGGAACTGCTCCTAACAAACTGCTACCTGAATGCTCATGAGGCTACACGTGTATAATCTGGAATATTCTTTTTGCCCGCTGCCAGGGGTGACGTGGCCTCCTTTGCAGATAGTGGTGATGTGGCAGTATTCTTCTGTGATATCTGTCCTTGCACATTTGTCTAAGTCCATATTGTCTTGATCAGACCCTGAGCTCACTGAGGTTAGTATTTGGAGACTAGGGCTCATCGCTGCGGGAAGTGTCTTCTGTCTCTAGTTCCGTCTTAGAGATCGTTGACTCCCTTGCTTGACTCTGATTGACTTTGCGTTGACGCCCGAGGTCAGAGTTGGTACCGAGCTTGGTTCATTGGAGGTCGGGCTCATAACATGTCATATTTGAGCGGTTCCTAAGCTTAATATTTTCCCGACCTCGGGGGTCGAGGTCGGGGTTGGCCGGTCTTCGGTCCTTAGTTATTTTGTTGTCTGGTACTTTGTCCCAACAGGTGGGTCGGGATCGGGGTCGGTCCGAGTCGTGGACTTAGTATTTTTATACACTCCGGGATGGATCCGTGATGTGAATGCCGACGATTATGATACCTTTGGGGTGTGTGAGAATCAGTGTTCTAAAAGGCGCTAGGCGCTAGTCGGGCGGTGACTGGCCGCCTAGGGCGCCTAGGTATTCTGATTTGATTTCTTTGTGTTATTTTTATATCCAATGTGTTTTAAATATATTATCAATAATTTTATAATATATTGACAAAATGAATAGCTCATATAATCATTAGATATTATGTTTTTTGTATAAAAATGATCAATAATAAAATAATTTATATATAAATGAAGAGATTTGTATTTTTTAGTCTCTAAAAATGGTTATATACCTTCTAAAAAATTATATATATTTGAAAATTATTTTTTATTATAGTTATATGAAACTAAAGTGTATAGGAATAAAATACTTGTTGATCAAATGTTATTTTAAGACAAAACGAAAGAAATAAGTTGATTTAGGAAATATTTAATCTGGGCTTCCTAGCCACCGCCTAGACCGCCTAGGCACCCGCCTAGCCGACTATTCGGCTGCCTAGCCCACCTAGGTGCCTGACCGACTTTTTCCACCGATTACACCGAAATCGAGGCGCTCCACCACGCCTAGCGCCTAGGCGGGCGCCTAGGCCGAGTTTTAGAACCATGATGAGAATATACTCCATCAGCGATATTTTGAATGGCCAAAATGGCAAATGTATGAGACTTAATACCTGGGACCGGTACTGTTCCGGCCCGGCCCGACCCGGTGGCCCGGTCAGTGACCGGTCCGGGTAGGCCCGACCCGTGGGTTTTCCGGTCCGGGCTCGGGTCACCCAAAACAAGGCCCGACCCGGCCGGGCCCGGGCCAGTTCGGGCCAAAACTTTTTTTTTTCAATTTTTTTAAATTTTCGCGTTGGGCTGGGTATTTTTGGCCATTTGAGGTGGTTTGGGGGGTTGGGGGTGGGAGGGGGGGGTTAATTAGGAAGAGGGGAAAAAATTGATAATGGGCATGGACCCGGACCGGACCCGATGATTACCCGGGCCGGTTCTGGGTCCACCATTTCTAAACCGCCCACCCGCCCGGGCCTAGGCCTGACCCGGACCCGGTCCGGACCCGAGTCCATCCCTAAGTGCAAATCTCTTCTTAGCACACAAGAATAGGGATGGATTCGGTTCGGGCCACCCGGCCCGTGACCCGGCCCGGCCCGGTACTGTGCGGGCCCGGGATCGGCCCGGTCGGGCGGTCCGGGACCGGGTCTGGGCCCGAACCGGGGGGAAGGGGCGGGGCGGGCTCGGTTCAGCAGTTTTGTGACCCGGCCCGGCCGGGTCGGGCCCGGGCCCAGGTCCGGTTCGATCAATTTTTTTAAAAAAAAAAGTTTTTTTTGGGTTGGGCTCCTACTAGCCGTTGGGGGTGGGGCTGGGGACAACCCAAACGGCTATATAGCCGTTGGGTGGGTTATAGGGGGGGTCCGGGGGGTTGGGTGGTGGGGGGGTGGTGGGGGGGGGTGGGGGGTAAAAAAACCTATAAATACTCCTAATCTTAAACATTTTTTCATATCTCTTCTCCAATTCTTCCTAAATCCTATTCTTAACTCTCTACTCTCTAATTCTCTTATTCTCCATTCTCCAATATATTATATTTATTATTTATAGTTTATATTAATTATCTACTTATATAAACTATAAATAGATATAAATAGTATTATATTACTTATATTTGTTATCTAATTATATATTACTTATATATTTATTATATCTATTAATATAGTTGGAATTATATCTAATTAATTTGAAGTCATTCTATTACTCCCATCCGAAAGACCGAAAGTCCGAAAGAGGTACGAAATTATTCTATTATTTACACTTGTTTAATTAGTTTAAAAAATATGTTGTACACAAAACTAGTTAATTCACTACTTAATTTGCTATAACTCGAATTAATAGTTAGATAAATAGTTAATTAGTTTTTTACAATTTTTTATTAATTGCTACATTTGACTCTAGTTTAAAAAATATGTTGTACACAAAACTAGTTAATTCACTACTTAATTTGCTATAACTCGAATTAATAGTTAGATAAATAGTTAATTAGTTTTTTACAATTTTTTATTAATTGCTACATTTGACTCTAGTTTAAAAAATATGTTGTACACAAAACTAGTTAATTCACTACTTAATTTGCTATAACTCGAATTAATAGTTAGATAAATAGTTAATTAGTTTTTTACAATTTTTTATTAATTGCTACATTTGACTCTAGTTCAAAAAATATGTTGTACACAAAACTAGTTAATTCACTACTTAATTTGCTATAACTCGAATTAATAGTTAGATAAATAGTTAATTAGTTTTTTACAATTTTTTATTAATTGCTACATTTGACTCTAGTTTAAAAAATATGTTGTACACAAAACTAGTTAATTCACTACTTAATTTGCTATAACTCGAATTAATAGTTAGATAAATAGTTAATTAGTTTTTTACAATTTTTTATTAATTGCTACATTTGACTCTAGTTTAAAAAATATGTTGTACACAAAACTAGTTAATTCACTACTTAATTTGCTATAACTCGAATTAATAGTTACATAAATAGTTAATTAGTTTTTTACAATTTTTTATTAATTGCTACATTTTTTAGATGGATCGTCCTAGATATTCGGTTGATATGGGTAACCTCGAGCGCAACCGAACGAACGAGCTTGCGAGGAAGAGATCCCGCAAAGGTAAATCACATCTCGGCTCTTCATCTCAAAGTCAAGATGATTTTGATACGGGTTACGTAAGGAGGGATGGGGATGCGATGACCGACGAACAACTAGAACAAGAATTGCACCGACATAATTCCCGCTTTTTTCAAGACCAACCGAGGACCATTGACGAAGAAGAGCTCGAGGACGAGGACGACGATGTGGAGGAAGCAATTCCGGAGAGCCACGACGACGAGGAGGAGGAGGGTGGCGGCAGCCATGACGCCGACCAAGCAGCCTCATCCCAAACAGGTACAAAAAAAAGTAAATCTGAATTAATGGCTAATAATTTTTCTAAGTGGAAGGACCCGAACACCGGGAATTGGACCGCAACTTGCAATTGGTGCAAGAAAAACTATAGCTTGGGGATTTCCGGCGGATACGGATCCGCCACAAGACACCTTAAGTCCAAACACCCGGTGGAGTATGCAAAATTAGGCGGCGGAACGGGGAAGCAAACGCAAATATCGAGGTTTGCAAATAATCAACAAGCTTTTGGTAATTTCTCATACAATGATGCACAAAATTTGACAGGTATGGCTAACTTACTTGTTGAAGAAAATTTGCCTTATTTGTTTTCTGAAAGTCTTGCTTTTCGTGATTATGCACAAACTTGTTTAAATCCGCAATATAGAGGTTATAATTTACATTATTTGGGTCTGACTGTACATTATATTGATAATGATTGGCATATGCATAAACGTGTTCTTGCTTTCCGTGAATTTAATGATCGTCACACCGCTGAACATATTTATATTTTGATTGAACGTATTTTAATTGAGTATAATTTAATTGATAAGGTGTTTGCTATTGGTTTTGATAATGCTACTAATAATAGTGCTGCTATTCCTAGATTGCGTGAATTGTGTGGTTCTACTTCTTTGATGGGTAGATTTTTCATCAACGATGTGCATGTCATGTTCTAAATTTATGTGTGCAAGATGGTCTAAAAGCGTTGGGAGCATCGTTGGAGGTAGTCAAGGGGGGGATTAGACGTATTTGGGGTAATGGACACCTTAGGAAAAAATGGCATGATTATTTGATAGAAAGAGGTGAGCGATATGTGGCTTTTCCAAAAGATTTGTCTATTCGTTGGAATAGTACCTATAAGTTAATTGGAGTTCTTCTTAGATATAAACAACATTTTCCTGCTTTTATGAAACAATATGATAACTATATTATAAACTCGGCTGAGATCGACACCTGTGAAAAAATTTGTAATGCTTTGATATATTTTAATAATGCAACTGAAACTTTTAGTCATGTTTATAAACCTACCTCAAACCAATTTATTCGTGAAGCTGTTAATCTCGCCAGTGCTTTTTCAAATTTTGAGAATGCTGATTATGTGAATTATTTTGCTGGTTTTATGAAGGAAAAGTTTTTAAAATATTATTCACATATTCCGCATATTTATGGTATTGCATTTGTTCTCGATCCTCATTTTAGACTTGGTTCTTTAGAAGAATGTTTGAATTATTATTATGCTGCTTTTTTTGGTCCATTGCCAATGTATGAGGACAACCCAATTGATCCGAAAAAAGAATACAACGAGGTTAGTGATATATTTTATGCATTATTCAATGAGTTTCATGCACAATATGGCAATGCGCCCCCTCCCCCGACACAAACATCATCTAAAGGAAAATCAATTTTCAAATCTACGTTTGCCAATCTTATTAAAAAAACAAAATCAACTCCCGCTACACAACAAAGCACAATTAATGAGATTTCTTTGTATTTAACTTATGATGTTGATTTTGAAGAAGATGATGATTTTGACGTACTAAACTGGTGGAAGGGAAAAGAAAGAATGTTCCCGGTTTTAGCAAAGATGGCTAAGCAAGTGCTATCAATGCCGGTTTCAACGGTTGCCGTGGAACAAGAATTTAGTTCGGCCGGCAATGTTCTAACACAAACCAGAACGAGGTTGAGCGCTGAATCTCTTGAGATGCTTATATGCTACCACGATTGGTTGAAAGCAGCACGTAGAGCTCAAGAAATTGACATCACTCCATCCCAACACTTTATGGATGAATCTACAGAGGGTGGCTCTACTTATGCCGGAGATTCCGATTAAAAACAATTCTAGTTCCTATTTAATTTTCAAATGTAGTTCCTATTTCATTTCAAATAAATGCACTTGAAGTTTGTTTTTTAATACTTGTATAAAACTATATAGTATAAAATATAAATTTAAAAAAAAAAATTACCCGGCCCGACCCGGCCCGGCGGGTGGCCCGACCCGTGACCCGGGCGGGTGGCCCGACCCGAACCGGACCCGTCCAACCCTCGGGCCGGTCCCGGGCCCACTATTCTAGAACCGGCGACCCGACCGGGCCTAGGCCCGGCCCGGGCCCGGGCCCGGCCCGAATCCATCCCTACACAAGAACGTCCGATCGAAAGTGGCGGGGAATATGGATCTAGCAGACGATATTTCGCTACCGAAAATAATACCTCCAAACAACGTTGGGAAAGAAACACATGAATAAAACTGAAAACACTGATTAAGAAGATGTTTTACTGTTATTGAAATCAAAGAAAATTAAAAGAAGAGAAGAAAAGAAGAGAAAAAGAGGAGGCGGCGGCTAGGGTTTCCCCATGCCATTGCCGCTCCTCTCCCCGTGCAGGTACTTCTAACAACCTCAATATGCACTATAATAGTTGATATGTTAGATCGTACAAGTTTTTACATGTTATGAATTGTGCTTATTTTTTCAAGGTTCTCTACAATTGACTTCTCCATTCGGATCTAAAAGAGTTTTTTAATTAAAATTAAACGTTGACCATTACAACCGGACTTCAGTTGGGGTGGGGGTTGATGGGTATACACTTTACCAGCTTTTCTGTTTCTAGGTAACTCCTTCAAAAAAATGTTTCTAGGTAACTTTTTATTGGCTACCAGATGGACATTTTAATGCTATTTGACTTTTTTTAGTATGGTTTTTGCAGAAACGAATCATTCAGATTTGAATAGCTTAGCCCCTGGCTAGTGAAGAGGGTTTTATACCAACTCCAGTTTCTATTCATTACAAAAACCGACTACTTCATCGGTCAAGATGAATTAATATGGCCGGTTATGGAAAGAAAGGTTTTACCCACTCTATTGATGGATAACAGAGAGATGCCGTTGACAGTGATTATAATCATCATAACATAAAGGAAAGGGGACGCGGACGACTACAATGACAACATCAAAATAATGACATACAATATACTCGACTCGTAGAGCAGATGATGATGAAAAGTAACTTAATCTGAAGCATCGATCAAGTGATGAAAAAAAAAAGTTGCATCCCACGTGCACAATGAATCCACTCTTCAGCTTTCAAATTCAGTTATTACTATTGACTCGTCTTCGGGGACTGAATCAGATCTTGTAAGGACTTCAGGTAATCCACTGCTATCTCTAATAATCTGCACACCCCAAACAGCAAAAGAATGTGATTAGCTTCGAGAAGAGAAAGTGTAATTATGGCAATGTATGGATTACTTATGACATCAGTAATATTAGATTACAAATGAATGTCGTTATGTGTTAGTTGGGATAGTAAGAAATTACGAATGTAATGTTAATCTATTTTGACGAAAATACAACAACATCAGATATAAGGGTAAAAATGGAGTATTACTAAAGTAATTTTACATTACCTCAAAAACCAAGGTAACAGACTAGCCCAGACACTACCGATTTTTTGTATGTTATGATAATTAGATGCTACCCCAGTAATTTGCAAACATTAACCCAACAAGGTAATCTTTGCCTTGCGCAATAGTCAATCACCTTCCTCTGCATATCTTAAAGCCCACACTAGATAACGTAACCTGAGATTAAATGTCTAAGCATACAAGGTAGCCTCACAAGACGGGAACCAATTGGCCCCTAAGAAAAATCAGCACATTCAACCAAACAATCCTACCCAACCCAAATGGGCCCTAAAAGATAATTTCTCCACCTGAAGAAAATTGTATTACAACTTTTGACTAAATCATCAACCGAACTCTTGACTGGGCTAACAAGATGCACCCATGCCAACAATATTTAATTTATTTCGTCCAAACTTAATTACTCCAAATTTTTGTTTTGCTGACAATCATAAGTTCTGCGATCAATATTAGAGCGTCAGTAAATAGTTTTATCAGTTAAGAAAGTTGGCTAATTGTTGGTTATGCAGTCATGCTATGATCCAAAATACTGTAGTGGCAAGTGCAATTTAACGACACCGATTTAAGGTATTCAATCCCTTAAACTGCTGCATGAAATCTGCCAAGTGTACAATCACATATCAACAAATTTTATTTCAATTTCATCTCGCTCTTATTTTCTTAAAAGACCTACCAGAATATCTTCATCAAGATAGGAGATAATAAATAATCTTTGAAAGCTCCCACCTACAATCACAAGAGTAACAACTTGCATTAAATAGTCAGATGTTTAAAAGCTAGGCAATCAAGAAACAGCGGTAGCCAGGAAAAAATATCAAGAATTAAAGAGAGAAGCCCTTTTAAACTTTTCTTTTTAAAAGCCAAGTCCCAAGTCTTTTGAAGCGCGGCTACACTTCACGATCATATAGGTAATTCCTTTATTCATGTACTTGCTTACATTTTATCAAATGAATTATTAAGAAATAAATTCAATTACCCTACTACAAGGTCCAAACACACACCATGAGATGATTTTGATTGTGTGTTCCAATCCATAAGTGTGAGCTTTCCGCATTGAATTCAGCTTCTAACGTTGTATTAGAGGGGAATTGGGTGTCTCAACATTAAGGATATAAATGGACTTTAAATCCATCCCTATCACGGACTTGTGCACTAAGCCCTGGGCCAGCTTTTGGTCAAGTCGTCCGCCAAATTATGTTGCAATCTTACAAACTCCACTGAAATTACACCATTCATGATTAATTCCCAAATCATACTATGTATGTCTAACACCCAAGTGTCTAGACTTGCCATTATAAACATGATTATATGTCTTAGCCAAAGTGGCAGCACTATCACAATGGATACAAATAGGTGCAATCAGTTTCCCCCGCAATGGAATCTCAAAAATTAAATTTCTTAACCACTCTGCCTCTTTACCGGCGGTAGCCAACGCAACAAACTCAGATTCCATTGTTGAACTTGTGATACAAGTTTGCTTGTTGGATGCCCAAGAAATGGCACTTCTCCTAAGCAAGAATATCTAACCACTTGTAGAAGAATGATCCTCTACATTGGATATCCAACTTGCATCCGAATATCCCTCTAATACCGAAGGATACTCAAAGTAACACAAACATAATCCACGGTTCCCTTTAAATACTTGAACACTCTTTTCATTGTTTGCCAATGTTGAGTATTAGGATTATTAGTATATCAGCTCAACTTACCCACGACATAAGCAATATTTGATCGGGTGCTTGTCATGGCATACATCAAACTACCAATGGCTTAAGAGTACTTAAGTTGTGATATTGCATTTCTTTTATTAGGCATCAACTTCACACTAGGATCCATGGGAGTACTAACAAGTGAACAATCACTATAATTAAACCTTTTGAGAATATTCTCAACATAGTGAGTTCGTGTCAAAGAAATCTCTTATTTACTCGTTTAATCCTTATACCAAGGATCACATCCACCTCTCTCATGTCTTTCATGGAAAACCTTGATAATAACAACTTTTTAGTTTCATCAAGCTGGTTTTGGTAACAAACAACAACAACATCCAAGCCTTAATCCCAAAAGAATTTGGGGTCGGCTAACATGAATCGATCTATGATATAGATGCCAATATTCATATTTCGATTCATGTCATGTGATGTGACTAAGTTATACTGTTGGCCGTCACACGCCTACCACAACATCCTCCTCCTTTATCCTGGCTTGGGACAAACATGATACCAAAAAATGATCTCATCAACCTGGTTTTGGTTTGTTCCAAAAATTAGCATATCATCAACATAGAGACATATGAACACACCCGCCCCTAAAGCATCAAATCGGCTATAGACACACTTGTCCGATTTGTTTATACTAAGACCATTGGACAAAATAACTTCATCAAACTTTTGATGTCATTGTTCAGGTGCTTGTTTTAGCCCATACAATGATTTAAGGAAAAAGGGTCATATAGGCCCTTTGACTATCGCCAATACATCATGTTGAGGTTTATTCCTTCAACCTGTTAGGCCCAACACGTGTCCTAAGGGTTTCGAGTGGAAGATTGAACAAGTTAGATGAAGAAACAAGCAGGGAAGGCCCAATAAGAAATCTGGGTATTCAGTATTGATAACAAAGCCGAGAGGCCGATCGTACAATGCTATGCTATGAGCTAATACAATTGCTAGAGTGCTAGAGTGCTAAATTGCGAACCCTTTACAGTGAAATAAATGCTTCTATTTATACTGCCAAGGGGTAGTTGGATGCGTTGATGTGGCTGGCTGTGGACGACACGATCCCAACCAACAAATCTTCTGCATTAAATGCGCTTCCCGCCAGGATCTTGGTTTCCCGTCAAGGGATGGGGACATTCGTCCCCATGCGCTTGCCTCCTGTTTCCTGCTAGACTCTTGGCATCCTGCCAAGGGTGGAGACGTTCGTCCCCATGCACTTGGCTACTATCTCCTGCTGGAGTCTTGGCATCCTGCCAAGGGGTGGGGACGTTCATCCCCGTGCGCTTGTCTCCTGTTTTCTGCTGGACCCGGAGTCCCGCAAGATGAGCATCTTGAGCTATTCTTGGGCCAGGATACATGCTGACACAGGGTACGTACGTTCCCTGACCCTAAGTGTTGAAGCTTGACCCTCTTCGAGACGAAACTCTTCCCGAACCAACGGACAGGTAACCCATCGTCTTGGGCCTCCAACAGGACGTTCATAGGAGGTTCTCGTGGGCCTTCTGGGGACGTTCATAGAAGGCCTTTATGGGTTGATGGGTCGGCCCATGTTGGGCCATTAACCCAACACAAGTCCCCCACTTCCGATGTTCTGAACGTGTGCGGGACATAAGGAAGTAAAAACGATCCCTCCGTATCGCCCTAAACCGATGTCCCTGACGTGACGGTTGCCTTTCTTGCTGCTGTTCATGGGCTCTTGGTGACGGTTATGCAGGCCGGTTCAACTTTCGATGAAAAGGTAATCATTACGCGCCTGTCTGTTTCCACACGGCACGTGCCCATGGGTACGCTCCTCGCCACGTGTCGTATGTGGGTTGGACAGTGGAGGTGTATCCTCCTATAAATCTGGGCCTTCTTAAGGGATTAGGGTTATACATTCCTGTGTTTGCTCCCCCTTTGCTTTCGGTGTTCTTCTGCAAGTGTTATTTGGTTCCCTGCTCCGCTTAACTTTCACAACTCATAAGGTAATCGAACTTGCTCTCTTCTTCCCTTCGCCTTTAACTCTCGTCATGGTCTGCTATATGGACATATCTTCTGAGTCGGGTTCCGGGTCGGGTTCCTCTACCGGCTCATCCTCTGGTTCGGACTCTAGGTCCCGCTCCTCGGGGGAGATGGGTACCTCTGGTCATTCCAGCGCTTCCACCGTGGTGGGGCGTATTGCGGCGAACCTAGCTGTTCCTGGGGTGCAGGAGGCGGTGCCGATATGGACGTTGTTACTGGAGGTGATCAGATGGTGGTGGTCCAACTAAATGTCCCCCGTCACATTATGTTGTTTCACAACGTTGCCGGGATCGAGCAGTCCTTCTCGTGCAGGGCCTTAAAAGAGCTGCAGGTCCTCCTTCCCCCGCCGTTCATCTACAGCCTCCGTGGTGCAGATAACCTCTTCAGGAAACGTCTGGGGATGATCATGGTGCACATGGATTCTATCAAGGCCGGAGTACGCTTCCCCCTGCATCAATTTTATCTTGATTTCTTCCGTTGCTTTAACGTTGCCCCAGCACAATTTATGCCAAACTCGTATCGGTTTATCTCCGCGTTCATTGTCCGCTGCCAGGCCAAGGGGTTGGCTCCGAGGCTAGATCTCTTCCACTACTTTTTTCAGGTTGCTCCCCAGAATGTAGACGGATTTCTGAGCGTGGCCGCCCGTCCTTGCCAGAAGCTTTTTAGTGGTGCTCCGACCTCTATTCACGATTGGAAGAACTGTTTCTCTTCCTTCGTTATTCGGACGACCGGCTTCCTGTGAGGTGGAATGGGTTCCCCCCGAAGATCAAACAGCCGGCGTTGACCGTCGAACTGGAGGATAGGTACTTTCCAGGCTTGAAGACTTGAAGGGTCTTCTGACAATCCAGGCACTTTCCGACACAGGGATAGGTACCGCCCGCAATCCCTTGATTAACATTCGCTCGTGGTTATCTTGTGGGCCCGGGCGGTCCAGTCCCTGAGGTGTGTGCCCTTGAGATTTGCACCGCCCAGTGTTGTCAAAAGCGCTCGCTTCTGCGCTTAAGCGCACAAAGCGCAGCGACGCAGACCCCTAGCGCCTGAGTAAGGAAGAAGCGCACAACCCTGGGCAAGGCGCAGCATAAGCGCTAGAAGCGCACGAAGCGCGGAAGCGCTATAGGCGCGCGCCTCAGTCGCCTGAAACGGAAAAGGCTGACAGCCCTTTTTTAGTTTAAAACTGAAAAAAAAGCCCATATCTTAATAGTCCTCAGCCCATGAAAACAATAGGTTAAAGTAAGTTTAACCTACGTAAAACTAAGCTTAATAGTACCGTTAGTACGTAAAAACCGCTATACTCAAGCTGCTCTACACCAGCCGGTTCTTTCAGCTCTCCTCGCTTTCCTCACTCTGTCACTCTATACTCAAGCTGCTCTACACCAGCCGGTTCTTTCAGCTTCATCATCTCAAGCATACGCAGCTCTCCATCGTAGCAGTAAACAAGGTATATCTTCTTTTTCATGCAGTCTCATATCTTCTTTTTCAACAAGGTAATACTCATAGTATTCTGCTTTTTTATTTTTTAGTATATTACTATGTATTATGTATATAATACTCATACTGTCATAGTACTTTGCCTTGTAATATACATATATAGTACTCTACATTATATATACATACTAATATACATACTAATATACATACTAATATACATACTAAAGTTTTTTATTTTTTAGTATATTACTATGTATTATGTATATAATACTCATACTGTCATAGTACTCTGCCTTGTAATATACATATATAGTACTCTACATTGTATATACATACTAATATACATACTAATATACATACTAATATAGTACTCTACCTTGTAATATACATACTAATATACATACTAAAGTTATATGTTCTTATATGTTCTTAACTTTATATATCAAACTGATTCCATAAAGTTTATGTATCACTGACTCACTGTATCAGTTAACCAACTGATTATATATGTACTAAAGATATATATCTTAACTTTATATGTACTAATTACTAAAGATATATGTACTGTGTACATATTAAAGTTATATGTGCTAATGTACTAAAGAGTAAAGATGTATGTTCTTAACTTTATATATCAAACTGATTCCATATAGTAACTTTATGTATCAATTAACAAACTGATTCCATTATATATGTACTAAAGATATATGTACTCATTCCAGCTTTGATCTTTTCTAGGATATGGAAGGTGGAACAAGTTCTGTGGGTGGTGCTGAAAGTGAAAACTCTACAAAAAATGACCCAGCTTGGAAACACAACTACTTAGTTAACAAAAAAGATCCTAAATCAGCTTTGATGCATTTGGTTCAATATGATGTTACATACATCGTATTTGGTATTTATAGAATAGTATATGTGACTTTATATAAGTAATGCGCTTCACCCGAGTCAAGCGAGCGCTTTTTTGCGCTTTGCGCCTCAAGCGCTGGAAGACTCCTAGCGCTTCAGGTGCGCCTTACGCCTTTGACAACCTTGGCACCGCCCGGTTCTAATATTCTTGTTTCTTGTTCTAGGTCCCCCTCCCACTCAAGAACAGATGGTGGATGTTGTCATGATGGCTCGTCGCGAAGCCAAGGCGGTCAAGAAGCGGGCTACAGCGGCAAGGGCCCGGGGGGGCACTCAATCTTTTGAGGCCAATTCTTCTGCTGCGTCCCAGGGTGATAAACGCGTTGGGGAAGCCGAGCAGCAGCTCATTGCAGCTGTGACTGGGCAGGGCTCGGAGGTCCCCAATGTTGAAGCTGGCTCGGTCTTGGATGTGGAGCCGGTGGGTGTCGCCCCTCCCGCAGATAGGGAGAAGGCCAGGGGGAAAAAGCCGAAAAGGCAACGCACTGAGCCTTCAGGCCCAAAGGCTCCTGATGCCGCACTGCCCTCCCTGGGTTGTCTGGCCCCTGAAGTCTGGAGAGACATGGCTTTCGAGTTGGGGTGGAGCTACCAACCTGTTCGTCGGTTGAGGCTGTTGCCTGTTGGCCAAGCTATGGCGCAGATTCTCGCGGTATGGCTCTATCCTTCCATGCTCATCATTTATTTTTATTTTTTTTGAATCATGTCCTGCCGTTCGTCCCCTTATGATTCCCCATTCCCCCCTCTCAGGTTGGATGGAGCCTATTGCAGGCGGAGGCCGCTCAGGAGTAGGACGCTGCCGAGACCAAAATGAGAGTTGATGAGGCTCTGAGGGAGGCCACGCGGGAGGTTGCACAGGCGAAAGAGGCAGCCGCGGAGACTGAGAAGAAGTTCCAGGCCGCTCTGAATCTGGCCCAGAAGGAGAAGCAAGATCTTCTTACCAAAGGTGGCCTCAGTGGAGAAGCACGGGATCTCCTTTGTCCCTGCTGCTGCCCCGGCTGCAGTCCCTGAGGGTAAGGCCACTCCTTGTGACGCTCTTACCCTGGCTCTTGACGTTTCTGAATTCAAGAAGATGTCGCCCTTCATAAAGGCCGCCCATGACTACTGTCGGGGGGGCGTAGGGGAGGTTTTTGACGACAAGCTGCAGGTGAAAAAACGCAAGGAGCGCCTGGCCCATGGGGTGCAGCTTTTGCGACAAAAGTCGTTTGGTGCCGAGTGGATGCTTGACTTGGCTGAAGATAGCTTCGCGAAAGGGTACTACCTAGGCGTGAAGGGCATGAAGCAGATCCTCCCTCTGGTCGGTTGTCCATCCTTCAACGTGGATGATCATACGGAGAACCAGGAGCTCCAGAGGGTCGTTGCCAAAGTTGACCAGGACTTGAGGCGGGCTGAGGCTGAGCAGAATGGAGAGGTCCCTGAGCCTCCTTCTCCTGAGGTTAGCTCTGATGAGGAAGACGAGGAACCGGACTCCTCCGCTCGGCGTTCCCCTGCCCATGGCTTTCTAGGGTGATTCCTTTCCCTTTCTCATATGTTTTCATCTTATGTTTCTGGCCAATAGTGCCGAAGAATAACATCTGGTTTTGCTCATTGCTTGTTTGGTGATTATTGTTTGATCTTTTCTCGCCGCTCGTATCCTTTATTGCTTCGTGTTTGACATTTTTGGGGATGGGGGCGTTCGCTTATCCCCACATGTACCTTCCCCTTTTTCAACGACGGGTCGTATTGCATGACGTCCGTCGTTCGGGGTTGTGACCTGATGGTCATGACGACGTCCGTCTCCCTGCTGCAGGGAAAGAATCCCTACACGTGCACTTAGCTGGCACGGGTAACGAAGTGTCATGCCTGCCGCAGAATATACCAAACGGCTTGCCACGTGTCCCTCCTTGGTTGAGGGGGACCGCCAGTGATGCCTATAAGTACTCCGTTTTTCAAAGGGAGTTGTCATGCTTCCTTCCTATAAGTACCAAACACGAAAAGATTGCTTTCTCTTTCTAAACCCTCTTGCTCTCCCTTGTGAGTTCTCGCTCTCCTTCCGTACGTTACCATGACCTCTATTACCCCCACATCATCTTCCCATAGGCGTTCTGAGGGGTCGTCTGACGATGGCTGTAACTCTGGTGATGACCTCACGGTTTACAAACGTGGGATGCCTCCTCGGCCTCCCCGTTACACTCTTAATTTCAACAACGTTCAACATCAACGCCAACGTCTGCTTTCTCGTGAGAGGGGCTTGATTCCCCAGTTGTTCCCTCCCCCACGAGGCTGGGACGTACGGTCCATCCGTCATCCCATGCAGCATTTACCTGGCCATGTGGTTGTCCACCTGGATTCCGTGCTCGCCGGGTTTCTTTTCCCTTTACAATCTTTCCATATTTCTTTGTTTAGGGGTCTTGGCATCGCCCCGGCGCAGCTCGTCCCGAACTCCCATCAGATCGTAGCCGGTTTCATTATCCGCTGCCATGACGCGGGAGTCGTTCCTTCTGTGAAGTTGTTTATGCATTTCTTCCGGCTTTCCTCCAATGGGCAAACGGGTTATCTTAACCCCGTGGCCCGTCCATGGAGAATCCTCTTCTTCAACAACCCCTGAGTCCGAATGGCTGGGAGGAGAGGCTCTTTTTCGCCGAGGTTGGGTCCCCTTTTCCCTTCTCTGACCGGTGGAACGCCTACCCGGTCAAGTTCGAGCCTCCGATCTTGAGTTCGGCCGAACTGAAACAAACCGCTTGTATTGCCGACTCGGGGGTTCAAAACCTGCGGCTGCTTGTGAACGTTGCCAATCTGAACAAGGCTGGTATAGGTACGTCTCTATCACAGCTCGGGCTTTAACCATGTATCCTTGAGGAGCTAGCTGATGATTCTTATGTCAAGGGGATGATCGGCCTCGTGGCGGGCAATCTCCTGGTTCTTGAGCGTTACCTCCCTGCTCCCTTTGATCCTGAAGTCGTTGGGCTTAATGCTTCGTTCATCGAGGCTTATAAAGGGGCTCTGAAGCTCCTCCAAAAGCAATCGCTGAGGGAAAAGGGGGAGAAGGGTGGCCCTTCCTCTTAGTCGGGGGAGTGTGTCAAGTTTGCAGCCCTGTTGACCTTCTGAACTCAATTAACTGCTCCCTAATCATCCCGCCATGAACAATCCCTCTGGTCGGATCCTGGTGAGACTTGTAGGGACCAGGGCGTACCCCCTAACTTGGGCAATAGAACATGACAGCTTTCACTGTTGGCATTTGATTTCACTCCGAACTCGTGTATGACATGTATTTTTCCGGCCGGTAGAGCCGATTAATAAGACATAGTGCTTTATTTATTATGATCGCCTTTCATTCTTCCGATGTTGTAATCCTTTTTTCGTCATCCGTTCGTCGTATCTGCCCTTTTTAGCCCGGTCCCTTAGATCCTGAGCTGAACCAGATCGATATAATTGGTGCGGAACGGGTATGTCCCCTTTAGGGGTTCCCTGATTCTTTGCTCTGTCATCCGTTCGTCGTATCTACCCTTTTTAGCCCGATCCCTTAGATCCTGCGCTGAACCAGATCAATGTAATTGGTGAGGAACGGTATTATCCCCTTTGGGGATTCCCTGATTCTTTGCTCCATCATCCATTCGTCGTACCCGCCCTTTAGACCGGTCCTTTGGATCCTGAGCTTGAGCTAAGTCGTCGTAGCTGGTGAGGAATGGTGTTATCCCCTTTAGGGATTACCTGATTCTATGCTCCGTCATCCGTTCGCCGTACCCGCCCTTTAGCCCTGTCCTTTGGATCCTGAGCTTGAGCTAAGTCGCCGTAATCGGTGAGGAGCGGGTTTATCCCCTTTGGGGATTCCCCAGATTCTTTGCTCCGTCATCCGTTCGTCGTACCCGCCCTTTAGCCCGATCCTTTGGATCCTGAGCTTGAGCTAAGTAGCCGTAATCGGTGAAGAGCGGGTTTATCCCCTTTGGGGATTCCCCAACCCTTTTTTTGGGCTTTTTCTTCGTTTCGCCACCCGCTCGTTGTACCTGATCTTAGCCTGGTCCTTGGGATCCTGGGCTGAGCTCGGCCGCGATTTTGGTGGGAAACGGGTTTATCCGTTTGAGGATTCCACAGTTCTTCGTTTCGCCACCCGCTCGTCGTACCTGCTATTGGCCTGGTCCTTTGGATCTTGGGCTGAGCTCGGCCGCGATTTTGATGGGAAACAAGTTTATCCTTTTGAGGATTCCCCAAGTTCTTCGTTTCGCCACCCGCTTGTCGTACCTGCTTTTGGTTTGGTCCTTTGGATCCTAGGCTGAGCTCAGCCGCAATTTTGATGGGAAACGGGTTTATCTGTTTGAGGATTCCCCAGTTCTTCGTTTCGCCACCCGCTCGTCGTACCTGCTCTTGGCCTGGTCCTTTGGTCTTGGGCTGAGCTCGGCCGCGCTTTTGATGGGAAACGGATTTATCCTTTTGAGAATTCCCCAGTTCTTCGTTTCGCCACCCGCTCATCGTACCTGCTCTTGGCCTGGTCCTTTGGATCCTGGGCTGAGCTCGGCCACGATTTTGATGGGAAACGGGTTTATCCTTTTGAGGATTCCCCAGTTCTTCGATAGTTATGTCTCCCTCTTCCCCTTTTTTGGGTGGAAGGAATTTGAGTGAGTTATTGATAGAACTTCTTCAGATGTTCTACGTTCCATGTGCCAATGAAACGTCCTTCCATGGTTTGGAGGAGGAACGTCCCCATGGCAAACTTCTTGTAGACCCTGTACGGCCCTTCCAAGTTCTTGGCCATTGTGCCGCCTTCAAGCGGCTTACTCTTCTCTTGTTTCCAAAGTACTAGGTCCCCGACCTCGATCTTCCTGACTTTGACTGCCTTGTTGAAATACCTTTCGGTGGCTCGATGGTATTCCTCCATGCGTCGTGCGGTTAGGTCTCTCCTTTCCTCAATGAAGTGCAGCTCGGCCCGTAGGTTCTCCTCGTTCCGTTCTGGCTAGAAGTGTATCGCCCGGTGTGTAGGCACGAGTACCTCGGTGGGGACTTTGGCCTGGAACCTTTATGTCAGTGCGAAAGAAGTTTCCCCGGTCGATGTCCTCGGGGTCGTCCTGTAACGTCCATAAGATGTAATTCAGCCGCTCCGGCCAGGTTGAGGAATAGTCTTCCAATTTTTCCTTGATACCGTCCATGATGGTCCGGTTCATGTTTTCTACTTGGTCGTTGGCCTGCGGGTATGCAACCGAAGCCTTGGAGTGTCTGATGCCCCATTTGGCTAGGTACACTTCGAAACCTTTGCCGACGAACTGTCGGCCGTTGTCTGTAATGATCTGCTCGGGGATACCGAATCGGCATAAGATGTTCTGTCAAACGAAACGCTGGCACTGGAATTCTGTGATATTCGCCAAGGGCTCGACCTCTACCCATTTGGTGAAGTAATCGATGGCCAGAATTATAAACTTCTTGCCACCGGTCGTCCTCGTTAGAGGTCCTAACAAATATATCCCTCATCTCGCGAAGGGCAAAGCGACGGTCATCGGTGTATAGAAGCTATCTGGCCTTCCCGGCATGGGTGCGTACTGCTAGCACATTGCACACTTCTGGGTGTGGTTGAAGCAATCCCGTTGGATGGTCGGCCAGTAGTACCCCTGCAGGATGATCTTCCTTGCTAATGTCCGCGGTCACTGGTGGCTGGAGCAGATTCCTTCGTGAATTTCTTCCAGGACCGCTGCTGCTAGGTTCGGTGGTAAGGATCTGAGGTAAGGATCGCCGAACGTTTTCTCGTATAGCTCCCCATCGATAAGTTCGAAGCTCAGGGCTCGTCTCTTTATCCACGGGGCCTTTCCGGAGGTTCGTCCATCTTTATCCAGGGGGAGAGTTCCGTCCCTGAGACAATCGGCTACCTCCTTTGCCCAATTTGGTTCTGCAAAAGAAATAGCGTGTACCTGGATAGTTTCTGTTGTCGGGCGGAGGAGCACGTCATGTCTGGCAAAGCCTCTGACGTGTTTGGGGATGAGCGTCGCCTGATCCTCGGATAGAGGATTGCCTAGCTTGGATAGGATATCGGTCTCAGCATTCTCTACCCGGGATACCAGATCGATGATCACCTGCTCAAATTGCGCAGTTTGCTCCTCTGCCAGTTCTTTGAAAGCCTTCATCCGTTCTTCCCTTGTTTCTGCAGTGTCATTCATATGTGTGACGCAACTGGCTATCCATCCTTACCTTCAGACGAGCTACTCCGAGGGCCCTTGCGTATTTCATACCCTTCAATAAGCGCCTCGTACTCAGCCTCGTTGTTGATAACCTTGAAATCAAACTTCATAGAGTAGTAGGCCTTGAAGCCTTCGAGGGAAGTGATGACCGCACCCCCCCACATCCTTTGGCGCTAGATGCCCCATCGGTGTACATCTCCCACCAATTGTCAAAATCATCTCCGCCAGGAGTCCCATTCTCAGTGCGGGCCGTGCATTCGGCGATGAAATCTGCCAGTGTTTGCCCCTTGATCGTCGGCCTTGGCTTGAATTCCACATTATACTGCCCGATCATCAAGGACCACTTGGTAATCCTCCCACTCGTAGGGCAGAGCACGGGTCGGGTTCGAGCGGGTCGAGTTCAAAAATGGTAAACCCGTTCGGGTATCGGATTGATAATTTCAAACCCTACCCTATCAAAAAAATTATCGGGTTTTTTCGGGTTGAAAAAATTCGGGTGGCGGTCGGGTTGATACGGTTTTCGGGTCCATTCGGATTGTAATTTATTATTGTTGAAATTGTGATAAACAAAATGGTAATTGGTAAAAATATCATTCAAAGTTATACTAGTACTAGTATAACATTCAAAGTAATAGTTGTATAAATACAGTAATAGACATATTTGAACATGTAAAATAATAATATACGCTGATTGATATATTTGACATTGTGATAAATAAAATGATAATTGGTCAAAATAGCATTCAAAGTCATAACAATACAACACTCAAAGTTATAGTTGTACAAATACGGTAATTGGAATATTTGAACATGCATAATATGGTAATTGGCATATAATAATTGAGATATTTGAACATGCATAATAATTCAAAGTAGTATATATACTACGCTAGTTCGGTTTTTCGGGCGGGTCGGGTAGCATAATTGGTAACCCTACCCACTACCCACTTAAGTCTCGGGTTGCAAGAATCGGATCGGATTTGGGTATTTCAGGTCGGGTTTTCCGACCCCAACTAAAAAATCGGATATATCTGATCGGGTCAAACGTGTAGGATCGGGTTTGCTCTCCCTTACCCACTCGCCATAGGATTTCTGAGGATGGTGGCGAGGGGCTGAGTTGTGAACACCGTCACCGGGTGTGCCTGGAAGTACGGTGCCAAGCGTTTGATTGATGCGATCAAAGCGAGGACCGTCTTCTCCATCAGTGTGTATCTTGTCTCTAGGTCGTTCAGCGCCTTGCTCACAAAATATATCGATCGTTGAACGCCCTTTACTTCTTTCAACAGAACAGAGCTCACTGCCAGGTCGGCCACAGTCAAATACATGTACAACTGCTCCCCGGGATCCACCTTGGTGAGGACGAGCGGCGAGGAGAGGTACGTCTTGAAGTCTTCAAATGTTGTCTGGCATTCCGGGGTCCACTCAAGAGGGTTGACCTTCTTCATGATTTGAAAAAAGGGAATTGTCCGGTCTGTCAACTTCGACATGAACCGGCTCAGAGCTGCCAGACGCCCGGTGAGCCTCTGTACGTCCTTCAAGTTCCTGGGTGCCTCCATGTCCATGATGGATTTTACCTTCTCTGGGTTAGGCTCAATTCCCCGTTCACTCATCATGTAACCAAGGAATTCCCCCCCCCCCCCCCCCCCGACGGCAAAGGCACATTTTTCAGATTCAATCTCATGTTCACCCCTTCCATGATAGTGAAGACCTTCTCCATGTCTTGGATGTGGTTCTCCTTCTTCTTGCTTTTGATCAGGATATCATCCACGTAGGCCTCCATGATTTTGCCAAGGACTTCCTTGAACAATATCCCGATCATCCTCTGGAAGGTCGCCATCGCGTTCCTCAGGCCGAACGGCATGACCACGTAGCAGTACACCCTGTCCGACGTGACAAATGCAGTCTTCTCAGCGTCGTCCGGATGCATGAACACTTGGTGATATCCTCTGAAGGCATCCATGAAACTGAGCAGTTCACACCATGCAGTCTTATCCACCAACAGAGATCTATCCTCGGTACGGGATAAGGATCCATTGGGCAAGCTTTATTGAGGTCGGAGTTGTTGACGCACATTCGCCATGTGGGCGCTTTGGGTGCCAAAACGACATTAAACAGCCACTCCACGTGCATAACTGGTCGGACATGGCGTATGTTGAGCAAGGTGGTGACCTCCACTTTAATGAAGTCCCTCTGTTCGGCCGCCATATATCTCTTCTTCTGTTGGATGGGCCTGGCATCCGGCCGGACGGCCAGCTTGTGGCAGATAATCTGCGGGTCAATCCCCGGCATGTCCTTTGGTCCTCTGGCAAACAAGATCTTGAACCTTCGGAGAACAAGGATCACGCCTTCTTGGATCTCAGGCTCCAATCCAGTCCCAATGGATACCATCCGGTCGGAAGGATCATCAAGTTCTATCTCCTCAAGCAGCGTTGCCGGCTCTGGCCGGGATAAGGCATCTTCCCGTCGAGCGGTCTCAGCGATGTTGACCCTCATACCTCGGTCGATCATCTTTTTCACGACCTCTTTGTAGCAGGCTCTTGCGGTGTCTAGGTCCGTACGGGCCACCCCTACCCCCGTCTCCGTGGGGAATTTGATGCAGGAATGCCGTACGGAGTAGATAGTCTTCAGGTCTTCCAAACCTGGTCTTCCATGAATGGCATTGTGGGCACACTTTAGCCGCACGACCACAAATGTCATAGGGATCGCCGCACGGTGCTCCCCATCTCCAATTTCTACCGGCAGGACAATTGTCCCTTCGGCCTCAATGTTGTGACCGGTGAACCCAGCCAAGGGCGTTCGCAGGGGGTCAGCTCAGCTCTGCTCAGATGCATTCTTTCGAAAACGTCCCAGTACAGGACGTTGATGTTGCTGTCTGTGTCAACCAGGACTCGCCGAATGATCCAATCCCTGAAGTCCATGCTAATCACCAGCTTGTCCCTGTGGGGCCCCGGTGATTTAAGTAAATCTGTCGGACCGAATACAATAGGCTCGGCCCTGTGCTTCTTAGCGGGAGGTGCGGATATGGAATTGATTTGGAGGGCCCTTTCGAACATCTTCCTCTCTGCTGGGGTGTCCCCGGTCTCTGCACCTACGAAGATCATCTCGATCTCCAACTTCTTTCTGGAACCGATCGGCCCGAGAGACGTTTCGGGTCGCTTATCACCGTGACGAAAATCCACGTCCTTGACCTCAGCCTCCCGCCGATCGTCCCGACGCCAGCTGTTGAGCTTCCGGTGAGGTTGTGAGTGACCTTGAGGGGGTGCCCTTGCAGTGAATTCCCCGAGGTAACCCCTTTTGATGAGATCCTTGATGGCGAACTTCAAGCGGTTGCAGTCATCCGTATTGTGCCCGGGCTTCCAGTGATACTCGCAATAGGCCTCCATGTCTTGACCCATTGTCTGCCCCAGCATGTTCTTGTGCACCCCAAGGAACGTAACTGTCAACCATCTTCTTCTTCTTCTGTGTGGGAGAATTCTCTGGCCCGAGACCCAGTCGGTCAGCCACTTTGCGTGTTGAAGGGGTTACAACCCCATCCCGCTGAGCAATCTCCTCCTCGATTGCAGTGAATTTTTGTGCCCTAACAAGTACCTCGACGTAATTATTTTCGGGGTTCCTCTTCAGATCCTGGTAGAGATCCCCGGTTGTGAGTGCATTGGTGAAGAGGGTGATGTTGGTGCCCCCGGGAGGTCCTCCACCTTCAAGGAGTTGTTCAAAACCATCGATGGATTCGGGCCTGAGCTGCCCGAACCATTCCTGTGTTGGCCCTCTGAGGGTGCTGAAGAACAACCTGCAAGGGCCGGCCCATCAACCCATTAGGGCCTCCAACGAACGTCCCCAGAAGGCCCACGAGGACCTCCTACGAACGTCTTGTTGGAGGCCCAAGACAATGGGTTACCTGTCCGCTGGTTCGGGAAGAGGTTCGTCCCGAAGAGGGTCAAGCTTCAGCACCAAGGATCAGGGGACGTGCGTCCCTATGTCAGCAGGTATCCTGGCCCAAGAATAGCTCAAGATGCTCGTCTTGCGGGTCTCCGAGTCCAACAGGAAACAGGAGGCAAGCGCATGGGAACGAACGTCCCCACCCCTTGGCAAGATGCCAAGACTCCAGCAGGAGACAGGAGCCAAGTGCATGGGGACGAACGTCTCCACCCTTGTCAGGATGCCAAGAGTCTAGCAGGAAACATGAGGCAAGCGCATGGGGACGAACGTCCCCATCCCTTGGCGGGAAACCGAGATCCTGGCGGGAAGCGCATTTAATGCAGAAGATTTGGTGGTTGGGATCGTGCCGTCCACAGCCAGCCACGTCAACGCATCCAACTACCCTTTGGCAGTATAAATAGAAGCATTTATTTCATTGTAAAGGGTTCGCAATTTAGCACTCTAGCAATTGTATCAGCTCATAGCATAGCATTGTACGATCGACCTTTCGACTTTGTTATCAATACTGAATACCCAGATTTCTTATTGGGCCTTCCCTGCTTGTTTCTTCATCTAACTTGTTCAATCTTCCACTCGAAACCCTTAGGACACGTGTTGGGCCTAACGGGTTGAAGGAATAAACCTCAACACATCACATAAACCCATCTACTATGGGTTTCATGTAAACTTCCTCATCAAGTCACCATTTAAAAATGCCGTCTTGACGTCCATCTGATGTATAATCAGATTTTGTATAGCCGCCAAAGCAATTAACAACCTAATGGCTGTAATTCGAGTAACCGGCAATATGTGTCAAAATAGTCAATTCCGGGTTTTTGTCTATAACCTTGAATGAATAACCGGGCTTTGAACTTGTCAATTGTTCCATCTACCTTCATCTTCTTTTTGAAGATCCATTTGCAATCTAAAGGTTTAGAACCTGATGACAAATCCGACAACACCCAAGTGTTGTTCTCTAAAATTGATGACATTTCATCATCAATTGCCTCCTTCCAAAAGGCAACATCTCAGGACTCCATTGCCTCTTTAAAGGTCTTTGGATCATCCTCAACTTGGTAACAATATGAATATTCTACCCCTATTTCATCCCTTGAACTTTCCACTAAATACAAGTGAAAATCGGGACTAAACTCTTTCACGATGCGACCTCTTTTGCTTTTCCTAATGTGTGTTGTCTTCAAATCCGAAACACCATCCAATTCTGGACCTTGCACCTTACTAGTGCATGGAAGTAAATCTTTTGGCCTTTGAATTGATGAGAATCTCATCTCATCAAAGGTCACATCCCGAGACTCAATCACGGTGTTAACCGCTACCGCATCGTTAGGTTCTATTACATAAAACATACAAGCCTTAGAATTTTCAGCATATCCTATGAATATGCAATCAATTCTCCTTTCCCTCAAAGTTTTCCTTTTGGGATCGGACAATTTAAAACCGCCCTACAACCCCAAACCCGAAAATATTTCAAATTTGGCGCTTTCTTGTACGAAAGCTCATATGAGGTTGTCTTGTTTCATTTAGTTGGACCCTATTCAAAACATAGCAGGCCGTGATCATGGCCTCTCCACAAACCCCTTCACTCAAACCCAAGTAGGAAAGCATGCAATGAACCATTTCCTTTAAAACTCGATTTTTCTGTTCAGCCACACCATTTTGTTGTGGTATATAGGAGCCGTGGTCTAATGTATGATTCCAAAGAATTGAAAATAATGGGGATCCATATATTCTTCGCCCCGATCATTCCTAAGACATTTAATTGGATTACCCAATTGCAATTCAACATCGGCTTTATACACTTTAAATTTCTCTAAAGTTTCATCCTCTGTGTTAATAAATACACATAACAAAACCGAGTTGAATCATCAATAAAAGTAACAACATACTTTTTATTGCCAAGGGAAAGAGTTGAGTGAAAATCACATAGATCACTATGTACAAGATCCAAAATAGCCGAATTCCTTTCAATATTAGGAAACGGTTGTTTTGTGATCTCAGTAAGCATGCAAGTCCTACACTTATCATTATTAATATCAAAAGCTGGAATTGAATCATCTTTAGACATTTCATGCATTTTTCTAAAATTGACGTGACCTAATCTAACATGCCAAATCATGCAATCATTAATGGAGGATGCCACAAACACAGATTATCACTAGAAATTAATTTATTCACAACATTTAAACGAAACATGTTATTTGATAAATATCCAAAACCAACAAACACACCACGCTTGGACAGAATATGTTTATCGGATTCAATCACTTGTTTGAATCCTAAATTATTCAACATACTTCCCGAAACATCAAATAATGTAATTGTTTTTCCAGAAGTAAATTCTAAAACAACTACACCATTTCCCAAGATTGGTGTCATTGACTCGTCTCTCATGCGTAAGAAGGAACCGACCTCCACTAGTTCCAGGTCTTCAACCATCATTTATCCTTACACACATGGCTCGTAGTCCCCGAGTCAATTCACCATGCACAATCATCATCTTGTACATAAAAAGATTCTGGAATGAGTGATACATAATTCTGGACAGAATTATCAAATTTAGTCAAGCACCGACCTCCTTTCGGTGGACCTAGGTCCATAGACCGTTCCTGTCCACGCCCACTCGTTCCAGCGCCATTCTTGTTCAGTTTCACACGGCAATCACGCTTGACATGCCCAAACTTTTGACATCTCTAACAAACCAAACCTTTAGGTTTCTTGTTGGGTTTGCCATGGTCTTCATACTTACGCTTCTTGCCTTTTCCCATATTGTTCGGGTTAGAATTTTTATCCTCACCTAAGTGAACACGAGGCTGTCCAGATTTAACTTCACCCATAATTTGGTCATTCTCTTGCGCACAAAGAGACTCCTGAATGTGCAAGTGACTCCTAAGTTGAACCAATGATAATTCCTCATCTTGATGTTTTAAGGAAAATTTAAAATCCTTCCAAGAGGGTGGAAGTTTGTCAATTATACTTGACACGGCATATGATTCATCAATATCTATCTTGTGAAGTTTAAATAGACCAAGAACACGAAGGAGTTCATTGTAAGGAGTTCCATAATCGGACTTGATTTAACCTTTTTATTATTATTAAAATCACTTACCAAGAACTTCTTACTAGAACCATCTTCAGCGATGTATTTTGACTCAAGAGAATTCCACAATTCCATCGCACTCTCAACATTTTAGTAAATATCAAATAACACATTGGACATACCGTTAAGAATGTGGCCTCTACATATGTAGTCATCGTTCTCCCATTTGTTACGCCTCCTAGTTTGTTCCAAAGTTTCATCTTCCATCACTTCCTGCATCAAAGTGCTGAACACGTACACAACCTTCAAAGTGGTGAGAAGGAAGTGCATCTTCTTTTGCCATCTACGGAAATCATTCCCTTGAAACTTGTCCAATTTGTTGAACTTGGATGTCATCTCTTGCACAGTACTCGTGATTATCACAAAGGAATATCAATTCGATTGTTGGGGTCATCGTATAGGGGGTGATATCGAGTACTTGGATTGCTTAAAGATCGTGTAAGTTCACTTTCCGAATTGATATTTCTCTCCTATGCCCGGGTTACAAGAAATTCAATCTAGGACAATCCTTAAGGACACTCAAGAACTTAGACACAAGATCTAGAGCACAAACTAGTGAGTATGTGGATTGTTTTCTTAATTTAAATGCCAAAGTGATCAAGATATGTTCTCTCCATCCCTATGTACGAAATATGGTGATATATATCCATATTAACCGTTCCAAGCAGATTTAAACCCGTTTGGCCTAGGAATAACCGTGGCAGTTTCTGGAAAACTGCACGAAACTGCCCAACCGCTCTAGACCTAGGTCTAGAACCACATAGTTGGTCTACTGAGTGTTCTACCTCGGCTTCCACTGCCGTAGACACCTTGGAATAAAACTCGTTCTTATATACAAGTGTGCACTCCACACTTAGTAGCTTGTATTAGAACACAACTCTAATCTCCATTGGCACTCGTGTCATTTCCAATTACACAAAACGGCCAGTGACACTAAAATCACCAACATATTCAATAGGTATTACCATCTTATTTTTTTTCAGAAAAAAGGGAGATCGAAACATGAATCTTAAAGATAGTTTGAATATAGTCATTCACCATATGCACTTCGATATTTACCTGCATATAGCCAGCAGTTGACCACATAGTAAGTTTTTACAAGACAAAAGAGCATTAACTTTATGTTAATTACTGAAAACCTATTATCAATGCTTCTACCAAGATTAAAGTGTATAGAGATGAGAGAATGCTCACCAAGTGGAATTTTTAACCCACTGGACACTGCGTCTCTAACAGGAACAGGAACAGGAAGTTGCTGCACACTGCTCATCGCCTGTCCAAAAACACCTCTTAGTACTTGAGGTACAGTTTCTTCATTGACCTTTGGTGACTCAAGTATCCCTTCAACATATTCTTCTTTCATTCTCAGTGGGCCTTCAACAGATAACTTGGCAGAGAGTATAAAATTGCTCTCAATCTGTATTCATCATGAATCATTTCATCTATTTTGGCATCCTTAACAACAAATGATAAACTAGAATTTTTGAAACATTGTTGCAGGCGACTAATTATCAAGTGGAACCTCCATTACACAAATTGATTAGATATTCTTTTCAAAATAGTTCGCCTGCTTTTTCACATTAACATTTCTCCTTAAGGAGATTGCACATTGAAATAGATATCAGCAAATGAAACTTGATACAAAATCATGAAAGGCAGACTTATGTTTAGAGATTAAGCTATTAGCAGTCTTGTACATCACTTGTTTGTGCAGTAACCTCAAGTTCACCATGTTGGCTATTTTAGGTTATATGTGTATTTGTTATGTACTTATTATCACAAGTTGATAAACTTTCATACCAAGAGCGTCATTTCACTTAGTATTCGGTTCTAAAAGCAACTCTGTTTAACTTTTTTGTTACAGACATCCATTCAAGCAATTTAAACAATCACTCTTACCCTAAACTCCTAAAGTAGTTAAATTGTTGCTCTGTAGTTACCAGATCAAAGTCCCAATAGCGATTTAGGGCCACCTACTCAGGAATCTTCTGTGTTTACTCAACTTTACAACAACAACAACATCCAAGTCTTAGTCTCAAAAGAGGGATCGGCTAAGAATGACAAGAAAGATATAAGGGCAAGGTAAGATAAATGGGATAAGATAAAGATAAGATAAAGATAATGTAGGTTTGAAGAATTAATCTTCCTTGAATCTTATTGAGCCATCCGGCAATGATATATATACAAGTTACAGATAAAGTCTAGTTGTTACAGATCCTAAAATATAGGATCTATTCTGCGAGCTTAGCTACTAGTTAGAGAGTTCTATCTACTCTAAGTCTTATCTATACAGTTCCGGATGTACATTTAATTAAAATAACAAATACATGTTACATTTTTCTACATTCCCCCTCAAGTTGGTAAGTATATATCATACATTCCCAACTTGCTTATAAGTAGTTCAAACACTGGTTTGAACAGCCCCTTTGTAAAGATATCAGTTGTTTGTTCTTTGGTAGATATGAATGGTGTACACACAATTCCAGCTTCAATCTTCTCTTTGATAAAATGCATGTCCACTTCAATATGTTTAGTACGATCGTGTAGCACAGGGTTGTGAGCAATATTAATGGTTGCCTTATTATCGCAATATAACTTCATAAGTAGTTCCATTTTCATATTCAACTCTGAAATCACTCTCTTGATCCAAAGCAGTTCACAGATTCCATTAGCCATAGATCTGAATTCAGATTCTGCACTACTTCTAGCAACCACATTCTGCTTCTTACTCCTCCAAGTCACTAGATTCCCCCATACATATGTACAATACCCAGATGTAGACCTTCTATCAGTTATTGAGCCAGCATAATCTGCATCTGTAAAAGCTTCCACACTTCTATTGTCACCTTTTTTAAAAAATAATCCTTTCCTTGGACAGCTTTTCAAATACCTTAGGATTCTGTAGGTAGCATCAAGATGTTCCTGGAATGGATTATGCATGAATTGGCTAACCATACTAACTGCAAAGGCAATATCTGGCCTTGTATGTGCTAGATAAATCAATCTTCCCACCAATCTTTGATATTGTTGAACATTAACTGGTACTCCTTCCTTGACATCTCCTAACTTTTGATTAGGATCAATTGGAGTATCTATTGGTCTGCAGACACTCATACCTGTTTCATGGAGTAGGTCTAGTACATACTTCCTCTGAGATACCACAATACCCTTCTTTGATCTGGTTATCTCCATGCCAAGAAAGTACTTCAATTCTCCAAGGTCTTTGATCTCAAATTCCTGAGCCAGCTTCTTCTTCAGGTCTTCAATCTCTTTATAATAGTCTCCTGTAAGGATGATATCATCCACATAAACAATTAACACTGCAATCTCTCCCTTACTTGAGAACTTCATGAACAGTGTATGGTCTGCTTGGGCTTGCTTGAATCCCTGTCTCTTTATGAATTGAGTAAACCTGTCAAACCAAGCCCTTGGGGACTGTTTAAGTCCATATAAGGCTTTCTCCGGCTTGCATACCTTTGAACCATACTGTTCCTCAAACCCAGGAGGGGGGCTCATGTAACTTCCTCTTCAAGCTTCCCATTTAAGAAAGCATTCTTCACATCTAACTGTTGAAGAGGCCAGTCTAGGTTAGCAGCTAGAGATAGAAGGATCCTTATAGTATTTAATTTTGCAACTGGAGCAAAAGTTTCTGTATAATCTATGCCATAGGTTTGTGTATATCCTTTGGCAACCAATCTGGCCTTATATCTTTCAAGTGTACCATCTGCCTTGAATTTAGGGGTAAATACCCATTGGCATCCCACTGTTGGTTTGTTCTTGGGTAGCTCCACAACCTACCATGTCTGATTCTTTTCAAGAGCATTCATTTCTTCTAAAACAGCCTTCTTCCACTCAGGTTTAGATAGAGCTTCATGTATGGTTAAGGGAATAGAAACAGTGGAAAGACTAGAGGTAAAGGCTGCAAATGATATAGATAACTGAGAATAGGACAAATAGTTTGAGATAGGGTATTAAACACATGATCTTTTTTCTTTTCTGAGAGCAATGGTAGATTTAGATCACTGGAATTATTACCTTTGTCATTTTCTGACATTGAGTCAGATTCATGAGCAGTGGCAGGGTCAGGGATGTCCTCTATTCTTTGATTTGGAACTCTCTTTTCATAAACCTTGCCAAAAAATTTACTTGTCTGCTGTTCATCATCTTTCCTTGTCTCAAAAAATTTTATTTCATTTTCTTTTGATTCTTGACTATTTTCTAGTGCATCTAACTGTCTATTATATTGTGCATCTAGACTAATGTCAAGAAATTCAAGTCTTTCATGGATATGTGACACATTATCACCATCTTTATTAGGAATCTCCCCCTGAAGATGAGTACCAAAAAAAGTTGATTTTCAACAAAAACAGTGTTCATTGTTACAAACATCTTTTTTGTTGTAGGGTCAAAACATTTATAGCCTTTCTGTGTTGAAGATAGTCCTAAGAAAACACATTTTTTGCCTCTAGGATCAAATTTGCTTGCAGTTCTGTCAGGGTTGGTAATAAAAACTGTGCAGCCAAAAAAAAATTATGGGAATAGAGTTGATAAGCCTAGTTTCTGGAAAACTGGCTTGAAGTGTATCAATGGGAGTTTTAAATCCTAGAGTCTTGATGGCATCCTATTAATTAAATAGGTAGCATGTAAAACAGCTTCTCCCCGTAAATATTTTGGAATTCTAGCAGAAAACATAATTGCACGAGTGACTTCAAGCAAATGCCTATTTTTCCTCTTAGCTATTCCATTCTGAGCAGGTGTATTTATACAGGAACTTTGATGAATAATCCCTTTTTCAGTAAAAAAAATATTTAACTTCTTAGAAAAATACTCAAGACCATTATCACTTCTCACAATCTTGATATTAGTATTGAATTGAGTCTGAATCATTGAGTAAAATTTCTTGAACACCTCTTCAACCTCAGATTTTTCTTTAATCAAAAAAACCCATGTGACCCGTGTGTGATCATCTATGATAGTTACACACCACCTTTTTCCTTTCAAAGTTGAAACTCTAGATGCACCCCAAATATCAATGTGTACAATAGTAAAAGGACTAGTTGGCTTGTAACTATGAGGGATATAAGAGCTCCTATGATGTTTGGCAAGTGCACACATATCACAATGAAATGATGAAGGATTTTTATTATGAAATAACTTAGGAAACAACCTTTTTAGATAGGAAAAACTTGGGTGACCTAATCTATAGTGCATTAAATACACTTCATTATTACAAGGAAAGGAAATAGTTTGCAGACAAGTTTTTTGTTGACCTTGTTTATTCAATTGTGTTCCTTCATCAAAAACATATAGGCCATCCTCCTCTAGCACTGCCAATCATCCTCCCTGATGCCAGATCCTGAAAAATGCAATAAGAAGGATAAAACTTTACACAACACTGAAGATCTTTGGTTATTTTGCTAATAGAGATAAGATTGCATGAAAGTTTTGGAACATGCAAGACTTTAGAAAGGTTAATGGATGAGGAAATTTTAATATTTCCCATCCCTGCTATGGCTGAAAAAGAGCCATCTGCAACTCTAACTTTCTTATCTCCTGCACAAGGTTGATATGAAGAAAAGAGATTTGGAATGTAGGTCATGTGGTCTGTTGCACCTGAGTCAATGACCCAAGTGCTTTTTGGTTTTTCAGAACAAAAAAATGATGTTATTTTACCATTTTGGGCAAAAGAACAGGAAGGGTTTTCTTGGTTGGAGATTTTCTGGTGGGTATAAATTGGAGTAGGTACTCTATATGTTCCTGAGTGAAAGGCAGCTGTTTAGATTCAACTTCTGACTCTTGTTGAGTCTCAGTCACAGTAGTTTGTAGGGCCCTTTCAACTTTCTTCTTTCCAGCTCCTGGTGGTTTTCCATGAATCTTCCAGCATGTTTCCCTTGTGTGCCACAATTTTTTTGCAGTGATCACACCAAGGTTTTTTCTTGTCATCACTTCTGGCCACTAAAGCTGAAGAGTCCCCAGGTTCTTCATTAGGTACTGGAGTGTTGTACATGACCCTCCTCCTGCTATCTTCCAACCTGATCTCAGAAAAGACCTCTCTGATTGAGGCCAGAGGTTTCTTTCCCAGTATTCTGCCTTTTACTTCATCTAGATCCCTATTGATCCCTGCTAGAAACATATAGACCCTATCATTCTCTTCTCTTTTCTTATGTCTGGCCAGATCCTTAGCACTCTCCCACTCTTCATCACCATAGCATTGATCTAATTCTTGCCACAGAGATACCATTTCATTGTAATATGAAATAATATCCCTATTTCCTTGTTTAGATTGCCACAGTTTGGTTTTAGTTCAAAAATTTGAGAAGAGTTCTCAAGATCTGAATAAGTTTCCTTAATAGTCCCATACCTCCTTTGCAGTTTTCATAAACATATGAGGTTTGGCAATTAAGGGCTCCATGGAGT